TCATTTAAATCTAAAAAACTCATTTTGCCAATAAAGATGCACCCCTGAATGGAGTTCCTTTATCATATTACAAGCGTATGTAATACTTTTGCTGTTTAAAGGATTCTTAAATATTTTTTATTAAAATATTATTTATAACCAAGTATAAATATTTTTATCCCAAAAGTAATATTTTTAATTTTATTAATTGAAGAATTGTAAAGATAAATATTTTCAATATTGTTATATTTTGCTCTTTGTTAAAATTAAATCATTGCATTTTTTTAATATTTTGTTTAGGGATTGTTAATATTAGTTATATCTTGTTATTATCAATTAAATTGTGGGCTCTAATTAACCCACTAACTCTTCAACCACTTCATCAACTGATTTAGTACCTGGTATGATATTTTGTTCCTTGTTTTTTTTTTTTTTTGCCCCATGAGTCCACGACCACGTGATTCCCTTGGCATATTTCAATAACCAAGGTCCTTTTTTAAACAAAAAATTAAAAATTGAAACGCTCAATATCGAATATTATAAGGAGCCATTCTGTCCATATATTTATATGCACTAGAGAGGCATCGAAGATAGCAGTGAATTGTTGAGCCTGAAAAAGGGGGGGACCATTGTGCTGTAAAGCGTATACAACTTGCGCGTTTTAGATACAGATGTATAATAACGTTCAATTTTTTATTTGAGATTTGACGTTCAATAGATATAATCGTACGGTTCTATGGAGTGTTTGACAATCCTTAAAAGTATTTTTCAGAAATATTTTTCTACAAATCAAGACAGATTTCTTTACATATTTACTTCGTAAATCATAAAAGTATTTTTGAAACTGTAGTTTGGTTTTTATCTAAATACCCCCATATGTATCACATTCACCCCGCCCTTTGCTGTGCTGTAGAAGCATCAGATACAAAAGATTTTTCAAGAGCTATTTTGTTCTCATTAGTTCACCTAATTATTTTTCACATGCCAATTGAATTAAATTGAACGAGCATCCTGGTAGCTTTGGATCCTCTCATAATCCTTCCTTCTCTTTTTCTTCTCAATGTCTGATCTTCACCATTAGATTAAATAATGAATGGTTCAGATTTCATACTTTATAAAACTATTATTGTAACATTAGATAAATAAGAAAGAGAAGGTAGATATCTGCTTTTTAAAATATTAAATTTAAACTATGTATTATTTGATCCAACAGTAAAAATGAGATTTTGAGAAGAAAAGGAGAAAGAAGGATTTTGAGAGGATCTGTGAGTAATAAAGTTGATTCAAACTTTGGAAATAGTGTTGATCTGTCACGAAATTGTTAATACCATACTAGTAATAATTAATAGTTTATTAAGCAGATTTGCTTAACATAAAAATGTAGGTCTTTGTTTTATATGGGTACCTGAGCTTTACTCTTCTCTTCGGAGCTTGTGATTGCACACAGCTTGTTTGGCATTGCTTGCAACTGCTTCTTCTTGGCGATCTCATTTTCATTGTTTCTGGAACCTCTCAAACTCTTTATCACCATTCTGTGTTGTTCTAAAGCATTTCCAGTTTTCATGTTTACTGCTGCATTTCCCCAAAAAAAAAAAAAATATTCTTCTTCTTCTTCTTCTTCTTCTTCTTCTTCTGCATTATTTTTGCTGCGTTCGCGTCAATCATTTACCCATAAAAATATCTAAAAGTTAAAAGAAAAGAAAAAAAAAATCTTTCAGTTTTTTTTTTCTCTGGCTGTCCTGTTCAATATAAACTCATTCGGGAAAAAAATGTCTGTGTTTTCATTTAAAATCTCTTTAGCTGTCAGTCTTCTTTTGCATTGATTTATTTTGTTACTTTCTCGTTAATCTTACCAAAAAAAAAATCGCTTTTAGAAGGTTTTTACTGCTTCCCTGCATTTAATTCTTTAGATTTGAAGTAAATTTGAAAAAAAAAAAAAAGAAGTTTCCATCTGTGATTTATCATACGCAAGAAAGTAGACCGAGTGATCATAAAGTGACACAGGTAAAATCCTTCTCTTGATGATTAGATATTTTGGATTTGGATTGGCATGAACAATATTATGTTCCTTTTTTACTTGTTTCCTTTTTCTGGTTTTCACTTGCAGAACTTTAATTGCTTATCTCTGTCGCCTCAACCAGTCAAGCTCGAGGAGGTCAAGTTCTTATTCACATTGAGCAAGGTAACTTTCCGATTTGATTCTCTGGGAATACTGTTTACGACTGCTAAGATCTGATATTTTAAAATATTTTAAATTTAATATTCTTAATAATGAATCGTCATTTTTATTTTCATTCCATACATTTTTTTTGAAAAAATAAAACAATAGACATATGAAATTTATATCATGCAAATCAAATCATAAGTGTAAAAGGATGATACAAAGCATTTTACATTAATCTTCCAAAGTGTGAGATTCAGACAAAAGAATGTTATAAACTACTGGTGAAACTCGCTTTAAGTGTAATAAATTTCCTGAAGTATGGTATTTTGTATTAATATATGGAATTCGTCAACAAAAAAAAAAGTGTTGTAAATTGCTTAATATGAACATTGTCTTTGTTATCTTTTTTTTTTTAATAAATTGATAAAAATTATCTCTTTGCCACTCTTGCCTGGTACGCTCACATAGTTTACTATAAATAATATGAAAAGTTAAATTATAATAAAATTAATATAGTAGGGTCTATTTAGGAGGGAAAGTGAAGAGGAGGGATTTTGCTTCCTACCTTTGTTTGGTTTTTGAAAATTTCCAAGAGGGGAGGGAAACTTTTCTCTGCCCTCTCTTCCTAACTCTTCCTTTCAAAGTAGGGTAATTTGGTGGGGAGGAATAATATTTGAGTTTGTATTGTCCAATGTCTAGCACACTCGTATTTATTTTCAAAATTCCCAGTCTACCCTTAGTCCTTCCCTTGCGCTGCTCTCGCCTCCCCCGCACACGGAGCTTCAGGTCAACGACACAATCAAAGAAGAAGAATAAAACACTCCAATTGGCTGGGATGGCCCTGGGGCCGAGTTGGAATATCTCCGACGAACATCAGGAGACACCGTTGCAAGTCGAATACTCGAATGGCATTTGAAAAGTAGAACCTTATGTGAAGAACTATCCGCCATCACAAAGTAGTACCTTGTTCAATTCAAGGTCCTCAGAGCCAAATTTTTGAGTAATTAGAGTTAACTCTGATCAAGATTGTTGTTATAAGACCTACGATGGGGTTTATTCTAGTTTTTCCGTCCATGAATTTCAACACCACAACACTTTAAAGCTGCACACTCATGCGTAAAATCAAGTAGATAAAAGCCACGATGAGTTGGTCACTAACTCATTCAGACATACATGACAAAATGTTTGAAACAAGACTTTTTGGCAGACATACTATAAAAGATATCATTTCAGATCATCAATGGCATTAGAGTTAGAAGATTAAAAAGATACTGTTTTTAAATTAAGGAACCAAATAAAAATTTTGTTTAAAATTAGAAGAAGAAAGGTGAACATTGTTGATAATTTTTTTTAAAGGTTAATACAAATTTTGGTCCCTCAAATTTGGGTCGAATTTGGTATTGGTCCCTGAAATTTAAAACATGTGGTATTGGTCCCTCAAATTATGTCCGTTTCATACCGTTGGTTCCTGGCATCTTGGCACCGTTAAATTTTGCTGACATGGCGCTAACACCGTTAACCGATGAGTTGGACATATAGGTGGCATATGACCTGGACATAAACCGATGAGTTGGCATGTAGGTGGCATATGACCTAGACATGGATTGGTTCCTCAAATTTTGAGCCATTTTGGTATTAGTCTCTGAAATTTAAAATCGATGGTATTGGTCCCTCAAATTGTATATGTTCCTAGCTGTTGGTCCCTAATAGCTTTAGGATGTCAAATTCATCTGAGTTGGCACTAACTTTGTTAACCTATGATGTGACATCTGATTTGGCAACTAAAGCTTGATGATGTGGCATGAGCAATGGAAGGCTTTGGTCGAAGAGACCCTATGCAATCTGGGATTCACTTTTGTCAAAACACAAAGCTTTTACTCCTATATTAGTGTGGAGGAAACGCAGTGCATTCTTAGCTAAACCTTCTACCTCCTCTACTACCTTAGGCCAAAAGGGTGACTTAACAATTCATGAGAAGAAGAAGCCGGCTTCATATACAAAACTACCTCCATTGAAGCCATATTCTTCTAATACAGATGATGATGAACCTCCCAAGAAAAAAAAAGAAGAAGCCCATCACCAGAGTAAGAAGCTTGAGAAGAAGCAACAAAAACCTCACCGGTAGCTCCAACAAGAAGGCAGGCATGACCAACAAGCCACCAGAGCCGGCGAAACCAAATAAGAGCAAAGCATAGGGTTCTACAGGAACAGATAAAAAGAGGAGGGCCTAAAGTTATCAGGGACCAATGGCCAGAAATAAATATAATTTGAGGAACCAATACCATCAGTTTTAAATTTCAGGGACCATGCCAATACCAAAATGACCCCAAATTTGAGGGACCAATCCATGTTCAGGTCATATGCCATCTACATGCCAACTCATCAGTTCATGTCCAGGTCATATGCCACCTATATGTCCAACTCATCAGCTAACGGTGTTAATGCCATGTCAGCAAAATTTAATGGTGCCAAGATACCAGGGACCAATGGTCTGAAACGAACATAATTTGAGGGATCAATACTACACGTTTTAAATTTCAGGGACCAATACCAAATTAGGCCTAAATTTGAGAGACTAAAATTTGTATTAACCCTTTTTTTTAACTTCTTCTGGTTTTTCAGTTTTGCTGTTTAAATTTTTTTTTTTGCAACACTGAAAGATATTTTAATTTAAAAGTTCATTCAATCAAAAACTAATAATTTTATATGTGTGTCTGTGTGTAATGTGTAGAATGCATTGTCAGTGGAACGTAAAGAGACATTTGTGTTGTGCCTTTTTCTTTTCAATTTTTTATGTTCCTCATATTTTCAGTTGATCTTATATTTGAGTTGCTGCACATCTAAATCAAGAAACAGAATGGAGATTGTCACGACTGCTGTGGGGAAAGTCGTAGAACCGATAATAGAATACACTGTGAAAGCCACTGCTAGGCAAGTGGGTTATTTGATTTTCTACAAAGACAACTTCAAGAACCTCGAGAATCAAGTTGCGGACCTGAAAGGTGCAAAGGGCACAATCAATCGTGAAGTGGAAGTAGACAGAAGAAATGGACGAAAAATTCACGATGCTGCACAGAAGTGGCTAGACAGAGTGGATGAAATCGTAGAAGCAGCAGAGCAACTTGGTGAGGATCCTCGTCGTAAGAATGCTGGTTGCTGCAATGGGCCTTTTGTTGATTTAAAGTCACGGCATCAACTTAGTAGAAAAGCAAAGAAGATGGCTGTAAACGCTACTGAAGTGATGGAAGCAAAAGATAACATCGGTCCACTTACATACTTGCCTGCTCTAGAGGGAGTGGGCTCCGCCTCTGCTACAGGCAGTGAAAAGCTTCAATCAAGAAAGAAAATGAAGGAGGACATTGTCTTGGTATTAAAAGACCCCAACTTAAGGCGAATAGGGGTCTATGGGCTGAGCGGAGTGGGAAAAACCACTCTTGTTGGAGAAATTGCCAAACAAGTTAAAGATGACAAGTTGTTTGATGAAGTTGTTATGGCTAATATATCCCAAATTGCAGATCTCGAAAGAATTCAAGATGAAATTGCAGATATTTTGGGTCTTCGCTTTGAGGAATCGAGCATACTTGGAAGAGCATCTCGCTTGAGGCAGAGGATTAAAGATGAGAAAAGTATCCTAGTCATATTGGATGATATTTGGGATGTACTTGAACCACATAAGCTTGGAATTCCTCTGAATGATCATAAGGGCTGCAAGCTATTGATGACTTCTAGAAATCTAGAAATATTACAAAATATGGAGACTCAAAAAGACTTCATGATAGATATTTTAAATGAAGATGAAACTTGGAGCTTGTTTGAAGATATGGTGGGTGACGTTGTTAAAGATATTAGCTTACATGATGTGGCAACCCAAGTGGCCCAAAAATGTGCTGGCTTGATTGTTCTCATAGTGGCAGTGGCAAGAGCATTAAAAAATAAATACGATTTTGATTCTTGGCAAGATGCCTTGAACCAGGTAAAGACGGTTGATAAGGAAGGGATGAATGAGAAAATTTATTCGGCTTTGGAGTTCAGCTACAATCATCTTGAAGGCGATGATGTGAAAGCACTTTTCTTGCTTTGTGGATTATTAGGTCCACAAATTCATGTTAAAGACTTGTTGACATATGCTATGGGTTTGGGCACATTCAGGCAAATTTATAGTCCAAAAGATGCAAGAATTAAACTTCACAGGTTGATTGGTTCCTTGAAGGCATCTTGTTTGTTGCTCGAAAACAACTCAAACAACAAAGTTAAAATGCATGATATTGTGCATGAAGTATCGGCCTCAATCGCTTTTAGAGATCAGTATGTTTGCAAAATTAGAGGGGGTGATGAGCTGAAAAAATGGTCATAAGAGGAATTCCTTCAACGATGCACTCAATTCAGGTTAAAAGATTGTCACATTCCTAAACTTCCTGAAAGTTTAGCATGCCCTAATATTGAACTTTTCTGCTTGGATAATGAAAATCAATCTTTAAGTGTCCCAGATTCTTTTTTTGTGGGAATGAAAAACCTCAAAGTGTTAGATTTGACGCGCATGCACTTACCTTCGTTGCCTCAATCTTTTCATTCCCTTATTGACCTCCAAACACTTTGTTTATATGATTGTGCTTTGGGAGACATGACCAGCATTGGAATTTTAATGAACTTGCAAATTCTTTGCATGGACGGATCCTCTATAACAATGTTGCCTAGTGAATTAGGGCAATTAACTCAACTTAAAATGTTGGATTTGACCAATTCTGGAATTGAAATCTTCCCTGCCAACATTATATCAAAATTGACAAACTTGGAGGAGTTGTATCTGGGCAATACCTCCATCAAGTGGGATGAAGAAGATTCAAATGAGGAAAATAAACATGCTTCCCTTACTGAATTTAGGCATTTGACAAACTTGACTGCTCTTGAAATTCAAATCAAAGGGGCTCGAGTTCTGCCAGGGAACATAATATTTGACAAACTTGAAAGATACAAAATAGTGATAGGAGATATCTGGGAATGGTCTGATAATTATGAAGCCTCCAAAATATTGATGCTCAAGCTTGAAACAATCATTCATCTAGAGCATGGGATTAATGAAATTATTAAACAAGTAGAGGATTTGTCTTTGGATGAAGTAAATGGAATCTCCAATGTTCTTTGTGATTTGAATAGAGAAGGATTTCCTTTGTTAAAGCACCTTCACATCCAAAATAATGGGGAAATTCAACATATCATCAACTCAATGGAGAGAAAACTAATTAGTCATGTTTTCTTTCCAAAGTTGGAGACATTAATACTTCAAAATCTCAAGAAACTAGAGAAGATATGTTATGGTTCATTTATGAATAATTCGTTTGCACAACTTAAATCCATCAAAGTCAAATGTTGTGACCAGTTGAAGTATCTTCTCTCAGTGCTGATGGTCAAAGCTCTTTACCAACTTGTTGAGATCGAAGTTTCAGAATGCAATTCCATGAAAAAGATTGTATTTGGAGAAAACTCTTTCCCAAACCCAGTGACTGTCGATGATGATATTGAGTTCTGTTCGTTGAGATCCTTGACCCTACAATATTTGCCAGGGATTGAGGATTTCTATTCTGGTTCACTGATTTCTTTAACAACCAAGCAGAGTTTGTCGCTCCAAACTAACGTTCCATCATATTTTTTCAATGCGAAGGTACTTGTTTTATTCTTATATTGTATTTTCTCCGCTGTGCGTACATACATTTTTGAAATAATAAGATAATATTATAAATAATAATGAAAGTGTAATATATAAAATCTTCTCAGGAAAAACATTGACAAACTCAATTATTTTTATATATTTTGGTATCTTTTATATGAGTTTTGTCAGCTTAATTGGTCCATTTTTGCCTTAATTGATTTAATTTATTTTATTTTGAATTATTATTTTATAGGGGCAAAATTGTCATATTTTGGTTTAATTATGACTAATTGATTTTTGAGGACAATTAATGCTACCTTACCCTTGAATTTTTCTTGCAGGTTCTTGGAAGATTCAAAAATATATAAAGAAAAAAAAATAAAAAAAATAAAAAGAAAAAGGAAAGAAAAATAAAAAAATAAAAAATAAAAATAATAATTAGGGGGGCAAAACGTTGCGTTTTGCCCAACCTAATAATCATCTATTCTTCATCTTTTGAGGAGGGGGAGACGCAAGAGAGCAACAGGGAGGAGAACACACACGAACCAGGAGAGCGGCGGCAGAACGAAACAGAGCAAGCTTTGGAAAGCCGAACGAAAGCTGAAAGGGGCATACACGCGGGAACGAAACAGAGACGGAGACGGAACGGAAGCTGCAAGCCGAAAACAGAGCTGGCTGACGGCGCTGAGAGGAAACACGCCGCACGCAGAAGACGCAAGCGGCGCCGAACACACACACGAAACAGAGGCGCATGAAACGCTGCACAACACAAAACACACTCACACGTAGACGGCGGCTGGACCAGGCGCGAGCGAGAGAGTGAGGACCAGAGGAGTCGACGGCGAAACCATCCATCTCTTCTTCCTTTGACCAAAATCCATCATCATCATCGACTTCGTCTTCTTCCTTTCTCAGCGCGACCACAGAACCAGGTGAACAGAGCTGGGCGCTGAAACAGAGCTCAGGAGCACGAGCAGAGAAACAAGCTTGCGTTCCGTCTTCTTCCATGGCTGACCGTAGCAAAATACTGATTGTGGCAGCAAACTTGATGGCAAACCGTGGCTAAGATCCTCTGATTCTCCAATTCAACAATAATGGCAGGAGCTTGGATTTTTAAGGGGGAGTTCTAGTTGCTTTAATTTCTTACTCAATAATTGTTTAACAATTCCTAGGTCTTAGGATAGTTTTTCTGATTGTTGAGATAATTGTATTGCTTAATCTGATTATATTTAGGGATTATTGTGACTGAATTATTGCTTAGTACTTGACATTGGGCTGTTTATAGTTTTGATCTCAATTATAATGTTGTGGTTATGACATTTATATTGATTTTGGAATTAATATATTGTGATTTTCTAAGGTGGCTTAGAATTTTGGATCATATAGTCTCTTGCTAGCTTTAATTTTGTTATTTTGGATTTAAGAGTTCTAATTAAGCATTGGTTTTAAGCATCCTTAATCCCATTTTACTATTCTGGTTGCAGTTAGTAAGTTGGGATTTTAGGAAAATATTTTGTGGCAACTCGAGGTGGCTCGGTTGTTGGATCAAAAGCTTAGTTATAATTCTTAATTCATTGTTTTTAACTCCCACATCTTTTAGAGTGATGATTGCCTGCGTTGTTGAATTGGAGGATTGATTTTTATCAGTGTTATTTTTGTGTCTCATTTTCATTTCTTTAATCTCCATTCATCTTAATCACTTTTATATAAAAACAAAAAAAAAGTATTTTAATTTCAATTTGATTCGTAGTATTTAATTAACAGCTTTTCAAAATCAAAAATCTCTTTTTATAGTTTAGGTTACTTGCATTCATTTACTAGGGTTTAATTTCGTTTTCGGCTCCTCAAAGTGAAACGACCCGAGTTGTGCACTATATTGCATTAATTCGGTTAATTTTTGGAGTAACCCCAAAGCGACAATTAAGGGCAGTTCAACTTCAAACATGTTTTAAATTTGACCATTTATATATGTGCATGATGTCACTTGATTACGGCATCAATTAATTCTAACTAAAACATTATCAACTATATGATCGAAATTTTCAACATTTTCACTTTTTTTGGCCAACAACATTTTCACTGTTCTCATTATTATTTTAGTGTTTTTTATCATTGTACCATGGTCAAATTACTAATAAATGATATGAAATTGAAACCTGTTGGCAATTAAAAAGAAATGAAATTCAAAACCACTTTGATCATGTTTGCAAGTGTTAAATGAAAATGAATATATGGAGCATTATAGTATGAAACGATTGATAACTTTTGCATTTGATAAATTATAAATTATAATTTAATTATTTAATTATTTAATTTTCATAGAATGACTCATGAGATATAATATATATAAATTTTCAAAAAAAACGAACAATTTTAAGCACTATCTTATTATAGGAGCATAAGATCAGATTTTGGGCCAAATAAGATTAATAAAACCATCATTATTTAGTTAACTTGATTAATTCTCGATATTGTCATCATGATTATACAATTCATTCATTTATTCATTTACTATATTGTTTCTACAGGTGAAGTTTTCTAATTTGGAGACTCTAAAGTTGAGTTCAATTCATGTAGAAAGTATTTGGCAGAATGATCACCTTTCTGTAGCCAATTGTTTTCACAAGTTGGCTAAGCTGAGTGTGGAGGAGTGTAGTGCCTTGAAGTATTTATTCTCATCTTCTGTGGTTGGAAGTTTTCCAAACCTTATGGAGCTTGAAATAAGAGAGTGTGAGATGATGGAGGAGATAATTGGTACAGAGGGGAGAAATAGTGCTGCAATTGAAAAGGTTAAGGAAAGTATGGTACTACCAATTTGAAGGGTTGAAGACTATGGAGGTGAATAATTGTGACAAACTTGAGCATATTTTCCCATCTGATATGCGCACGACATTTGGAAGAATGGAGACATTGAAGGTCAGTGATTGTGGTTCAGTGAAAGAGATATTCAAATTACCGGACAATGAAATCATTGGAGAAGAGGCCACACAATTGAAGAACCTGCATCTGCTTCGCCTGCCCAAGTTGAAACAAATATGGAATAAGGACCCCCAAGGAAATTTCCGCTTTCACAATCTCCAATATGTCCGTGTTGAAGAATGTGAGAACTTAGACTATCTCTTCCCACTTTCAGTAGCCCTGGATCTTCATCAACTCGAAACAGTCACAATGGGTTCTTGTGGAATGAATGAAATTGTAGCAAAAAAAGAGGAAATAGCCATCTTTCACTTTGATCGGTTAAACTCCTTGGAGATTTGGAACATGCATCGACTTGATAGGTTTTATAGTGGAAGTCACAGTTTAGCGTGCCCATCATTGAGAATGTTATGGGTCTTCAACTGTCCAAAATTGAGGTTATTAGGGAGACAGAGTACAAGAAACCATAACCAGAGTGGTGATGACCGAAATCCGCATCCCTCTATGCAAGATCCTCTCTTCATGATTGAAGAGGTATGGCCATCAGATGTTTATTCATCTCAGAAATATATATCTAACTTGTTATAAAGTAGTAGCTTTTCCTTTCAACTAGTTCGTAGGTCAACTTTCTAATATATTTCTTATAGAAAATGAATATTGTATGGTTTGAAGGTGTGGAAAAACTGTGACATTCATTTTCTACACGAAGCATTTTGTTTTCAGTAAAACATTAAGATGTTTCAGAAGATAATTAAATGAAAAGAGGAAAAATGCATGGACTTTTACGTGAAGCTTTTTACTTTTCAGTGACATGCCCAAATATGTCCATGTGCCTTTTTGCCTACGGGTAAATATTTCTTATTGTATTCTTTTGTTGAGTAAGCGTCTCTTTTTGTTATTATATGTAAGAGAAAATAATGAAGCTGTATGTTATGCTTCAGGTGATTCCGAAGTTGGAATCTTGGACATTAAATAACACAGAAGCCATAATGATGTTGCAAGACCCACAATGGAAGCACCGTTATGTGAGTAGACTGAAGACTCTTGGAATGTCCAATTTTGACGATAAAACGGCAGTAACTTTTCTGGACTCAATTGTGCAAAAGGCACCAAACTTGAAATATCTATTTGTAGAACATGGTTCCTTGAAAGAGATATTCCAAGACAAAAGAGTTGCATATGAGGAAGGCAAGAATGAAATCAAGACCCAGCTTGAATTTTTAATGCTGTATGATCTACAATTGGAACACATATGTAGAGAAAGATGCAAGATCGACCCAATTCTTGAGGTTCTTGAAGCTTTAAATGTGACAGAATGTGGTAATTTGAAAACTTTGGTTCCTTCCTCCGTCACTTTTTCCCACCTGACATATTTGGAAATTCAAAAGTGTAATGGATTGATAAGCTTAATTTACTCATCAACTGCAGCAAGTTTGGTCAATCTTCAAGACATAGAATTAAAAGAATGCAATTCACTTGAAGAAATAATGACGCAGGAGATGAATGAGACAAGAGATGAAATCGTATTTAGAAATTTGAGAACTATAGCATTGGAAAGCTTGCCAAGGCTCAATAGTTTCTCATCTAGCAGTCAATGCTTCTTCAGGTTCCCATTGTTGAAGAAAGTTGTTGTGAGGCAATGTCCAAGGATGAAAACCTTCTGTGAAAGAGCAACAAGCACGCCAATGCTTAGAAAGGTAATAACAAAAGAGGGGGAAGACGAAGAATGGTGGTGGGAAAGTGACTTGAACAGAACAATAAAAATGGTCCATGGGAATAAGGTATGTTTTTTCCCTTTAATTGCTGTCTAACAGAGTATTGATAATAACAAGTATAGGTCTGTTGTTTAACAGCTCTTCATTGCCATTCTGTTGTAACTAACATTGGAAATTTCTTTGCGTGCAGATTGCATTCCGTGATATGGAGCATCTTGATTTATCCTTGTATCCTGAGCTAAGAGACTCTTGGAGCAGTCCCATTGAGAATAAAATATTCTGTAATTTGAAATCTCTAGCAGTCGAACATTGTGACTTTTTATCAGATGTTCTTGTTCCTTCGAATTTGCTGCGAGCCTTGGGGAACTTGGAAGAAATTCACGTAAAAGACTGTGATTCACTAGAAGTTGTGCTTGAATTTGATGCGGCAAAAGAAGAGGCAATATCAGAGAAAGGGGCGAGTCATCTGCGAAAAATCTGCCTATCTAATCTGCCTAAGCTCCAATACATATGGAAACCAAGTCTCAGAGGGAAAAGGGAAGAGGATGAAGCTCGAGTCCAATGTCAACAGCCTGTTTCTTTTCTTGCTAAGGTATGCTTTAGTTTCTTTCATAAAGTAAGATAAAGGTGCTATTGTTTTACTCTTCTTTTGTTTCTTATGCTATCAAAAGGTGAAAGATATTCTGTTTGTTCTTGAAAACATATCTCAACTATAAATTCTTGAAAGTTCAGCTTTTCTGTTTAGTTTTGGATGATTATAACCAAAGTGTGTAATTATTGTTAATGTTAACGGGAAACCAATATTTACATGAGAAAAAATGTGGCAAGGTAGCAAACTATATAATTCATCTAAAATAATTTTGTACACATAAAAGTAGAAAAAATGCAAGGAACAACAATTTTATTTTTTTCAGTCACATTTTTCTCTGCCAATTAAATTATGTTGAAGAAGTCAATAAGCTCTCGAGAATAATCTTGTAGAGTCCTTTCACAGTTGAATCTTGAATACATTGAAACAGCTTTTAAAACTAGTTGGCAAAAAAATAGCGTTATTTGTACCAAGTAATTTGCGCATGTAATATGAAATATACACACACCATTTGGTAAATAAAAATCTATGATCTATCTCTACTTTTCCTCAACTATGGATAGTGTGATTTGTTGAGAGTTGTAATAGATTATATATAGGTTATAATTTATAACAAATAATTGTATGTTGGCGCTGCATTCATAGCCCAGTTTAGAAGCCATGATGCCCATTGCATAGCCTTGCTCTTCTTACGCTTGTGCTTCACAGCATGATTTATGAACTCTACGCATAGCCTTGTGTTTTTTGTTTTATGCGGCGTTGAAGTGCTGAGAAATATATATTTATAAAATGATTTTTAATACATGAGATATGGTGGGGCGGGGGAAGTAAAACACTATTCAAACGTTCTATGAGGCATATAAATTATATATTTCTTTTAATTAAATACCTTATATAATAAATTTTAATATTTTGAAATTTTAAACAACCACTAAACGAAGTTAGTGTTTAGAATATTTAAAAAAAGTTCAAAAAATATTTAAAAAATTAGAGCAGTAAATCCAACAAAACGAAGTGAAATTAAAATTAACTAATTGAGACAGAAAAAATGTAATTGCGTGTGTTATTACTACCAATCAATCAAATAATTTCTATTATAAAAACATGACAACTGTACATGCGGGTTTCCCAGATAAAAACTGAGTTTCTTTATTAATGCTACCTGTCAAGTTCATATCATTGGTTTCCCATGTACCTATCATGGTTTTGTTGAACATTTTGATAAGGATACAAGTAATTGGATACAATGAAGTGACATAAACAATCAAAATTTATTTCTTTTTACTGTGGCAAATCATCCAGTATTATACCTTCATTTTTTTTTGTGATACAAGTAGCAGGCTCGAACCCGCACACACACACCCAAACACACACATACCACTCAGCCAAGAGGCCAGTGGTATCCCCCCTAGGAATATTAAGCCTCATATAATTCTTTTTCTGGCTAAATGGGCTTGTGGACTGCACAAAACCACTTAACACGGACGCACAAATGCCGGAAGCAATCACTAACCAAATCTCTATGCCTTCAATTTTTGAAAACTTGCCGAAATACGTGGCATGGGCTTGACTTGTTCCAAACAGAGTTTACTTGTTCTTTTGCCAGAAACAGAGTTTACTCAAATTATGCATTTGTTTTTATCAAACTTATCCCAAGTATGGTTTATGACTGACAGTGAAACTATTGAGTTGATTGCAGGTACTTCTACCCAAACTGGAAACAATAATAATAGAAGACTTGCAAAACTTGGAAACAATATGGCACCCTGTCCTAACTCTGAATTCCATGGGTAGCTTTGAGACATTGAAAGTGAGAGATTGTCAGAAAATTCAGCATATATTTCCAATGTACATGAACGGAGTATTTGCAACTCTACAGACGTTGAAGGTTAAAGACTGCAACTCAGTGCAGGAAATTTTCCAGTTGGGTGGCAAGGAAATGTGCAGTGGAGATGATACAACACAGCTCAAGAGTATAACCTTGCTTCGATTGCCAAAGCTGAAACAAATTTGGAGCACAGGTCGGCAATCTAGTCTTCACTTTAAGAGTCTGCAAGTTGTGCGTGTTGAAGAATGTGGAGATTTAGATTACCTTTTTCCATTCTCCATAGCAAAGCACCTACCTCAACTTGAAGCAATTACAATAAAGAGTGCTGCAAAGATGAAGGAAATTGTTTCCAAGAGAGAAGAACCCTTAGATAATCTTGTTGAATTTGAGTTTAGTCAGCTAACCTCAATGGCGCTTTGGGATTTACAAGATTTGCAAAGAGTTTGTGCTGGAAATCATAGCTTATCTTGTTCATCATTAAGAGAATTAGATGTCTGCAATTGTCAGAAATTGAAGCTGTTCCAGACACAAGGTACAAGTAACCAAGGAAGACTTTTTGATGACAATCTCTATGTCTCAATGCGACGACCTCTTTTCAGGCTCGAAGAGGTATGGCTCATTCTTAAGCCAAAAAAACTCAATTAAAATCTTCATGTTCATCCAAAGTTATAGCGTCAAAATATCATTTCTATGTAATGTCCTCCCATCGCAATTTCTTTTCACATATTATGAAAGCTATTTGAAAATAATATAATGGCAAATTTACTTTCAAGGAGATATGGGATGTTTTGATTGAACCATTCTCTCTATATGAACTCCATTCAATTTTTTTCTCATGATAAAAAAGGTCATTGCAAAACATTTATAAAACCCGACTGTTATATTGTTTAGTTTGCATTGCTTCCCTTTTATTTTTCACTTAACATATACAAACAACTTTTGCAGGTTGCATTTTATAGTTTCGAGCACCCGAAACTATCTCAATATTTGAAGTAAATTATTCTATTATAGTTTTTTTAATTTTACATTTTCCCTCAATCTAGTTATTTCACACCTAAATAAATTATTATTACTGTTATAGCTCAAACTTTTGCCAATTGATATTTGTTTTAAAATTTAAAATTTTTATATTACCTAAACAAATCATTTTAAATATGAGATTTTAATGTAAAATCCAAATCCATCTATCTAAATGCATTCTAAAAGTTATTTAATTGTGTTAAAACATAAAAACAGCAAAGAAAATAATTTCGTTCAATTAATTTTTGTCAATAGTCAATAAGTTCATTGTTCATGGGACATGCATCAATCTTTCCAAGACATTGTTTAACGTGTTTTAATTCCCTTTTATTATTACTTACATTGATAATCATTTTCACAGGTGGCATTTAGGAGTTTCAATCATTTGGAACTCTCTCAATATCCAGAACTGAAAGAACTATGGTATGGTCAACCTGAGCCGAAAATATTCTGCAATTTGAAGCATCTGGTGGTGCGTAAATGTTCGTTCTTATCCAAGATGATTTTCTCATCAAATTTATTGCAATTGTTGAACACTTTGGAGGAATTGGAAGTATCAGAGTGTGATTTCTTAGAAGCAATATTTGATGTAAAAGCATTAGAAGACAAAGCAATGGAATCAAGGGAAGTGAGCCGGTTGAAAAAATTAATACTCTCAAGTCTTCAAATTTGAAACACGTGTGGAATAGAGAAGCAGAAGAAATAATTAGCTTTGAAAATGTACAGATTGTGATAGTTGATAAATGCAACAACTTAAAATATGTGTTTTCACCATCACTGTGCCAAAATTTGAGGCAACTTGAAGAGCTTCACATTGACTCCTGTGGTGTTGAGGAAATCATTTCAACTGAAGAAGGATTGGAAGAAATCAAGTTTGATTTTCCTCGATTAACAAACTTAGGGCTATATAATTTGACGCGACTCACTAATTTTTACCCAAAAAGATACAGTCTAGAGTGTCCTTCATTGGAGTGGTTAAATATTCGCAGATGTGAAAAATTGCAAATATTTGCATTTGACCATTCCAATTCCCAACAGCTTAGAGACGGTGGCATTGGTTTGCAAATTAAACAAGCTTTGTTTTGTATTGAAAAGGTATGCATTCTTTTTACGTTTATTTTATCTATCTATCTATTTCATTCTTTCTACACAAAAAGATGCATGGTTGACGAAAACTATAACAACACATGTATCTTGTAAAACTATATAAAAAAAATGTTCATGTTAACTAGTTGATTATATAATGAAACAAATTACATGTTGTCTTTTCAGGTGTCTCAAAATTTGAAGGAGTTGCCATTAAATGAAAAGGATATTATGAGGATATTAAATGGTAACTATGAGAAAAATCTATTTCAAAGCATAGAATGGCTTCGTCTCCAATACTTTCAAGAAACTCCAATAAAGTTTCTAAATGATTTGATCCAAAAATTCCTTGCTATAACCACACTTCAAGCACGTTGCAGTTCTTTTGAAACACTCTTTCCTTCAAAAGAAATTGGTTGTTTCAGTATTGATAGTCCCATCTGAATTAAAATATTGTGGCTATTTCAATTGGAGCAGCTTGAGCATATATGGAATGATGATGACTCAGCATCTCATCCCCTAGTTCAAAACCTTGAATATCTACGTGTAGAGGAATGTTCAAAGATAATAAGATTTGCAACACCTTCTGCATCTTTCAAAAATTTAACTTCCTTGACAGTGAACGATTGCAATGGGCTTATGTACTTCATGACAACTTGCACTGCTACAAGTCTCGTCCACCTCACAAGCTTAGAGGTTAGCAATTGTGGGATGTTAGAGGAAGTTGTGATGACGGATGATGAAGGCGAATCAGAAGAAGAGGTCATATTTGAAAGCTTGAAGTATTTGGAACTAACTTGTTTAACAAGCCTAAAAAGCTTTTGCTATGGAAACCAAACCTTCATATTCCCATCTTTGGTGACACTTAAAGTGATAGGATGCCACAAAATGCAAAATTTTTCATCTGGATTCATCGCTGCCCCATTTGTGAAATCCGTGAAAGTGGAAGATGGAAAGAAACATTGGAAAGGGGACCTTAACTCCACCATTAAACAGTTATTCATAGACAAGGTATTTATGTCAAAAAAGTGAATTCCAAAAATTTTTATGCACTTCTCAGCTACTGCTGCTGCTGCTTCTTCTTGTTGTCCCTCCCCCATTTCTATCTTCCCCCAAGAGCGCTAAACTCGTCTGCCTTTGACCTCTATTGGAAAAACTATATAACAATACTAAGTGTCATAATATGATGTTTCCTTGCCTGACTCAATTAGGCAATTGGAGAAGGAATTGACGATGACCACAAAGAATCTTCAAGCAGTCAGACACAGGAAAAGAGCATAGGCAAAAGCAGAGCATTAAGCATTGAGGAGCATGGAGCAGAGTCAAAGGCTGATGATGAGGTTGTTGATTTAGGGAAGCAAGAAATCCACGGACTTCCTATTCCACATACAGGTATACTAATTATGATTGTCTTCTATTCTTCGTTTATTCATAAATGATTGTTCTACTACTCAAATATTGGCCTTAATTTTGCTTTCTTTATGGATTCTAGTGGCTTTCTATATTACTTTTCTCAAGTTAACCTTATTTTATTATTACTGCAACCTCATATCACATTTTATATTTATTTATTTAGGTGACACTCAAAAGATATGTGAAATCACTGAGACGCCCTTGGATCAAGCTTGTCAAAACACATTAAGTCTTACAAAAGTTGATGCAGGTGTTGATCCAGTTATGCAATACTATTTTTTATTTACTTGGAAAGAAGTGGTTTATTAGCATTTTACAAAAAAATATATATTGTCTTTTAAAAAGAAAAAAAAACTCGTTTGTTTAGTTGTTGAGATTCAGGAGATGCATGAAACTTCTGAGGGAGATGGTGAAAACACATTGAGCATTACCACTGTTCAAGGTGCAGGTACTGTTCATGTTTTCTTAGTTTGAGTATTCTATAAATATTTTAAAACTATATTCTACATTAGGAGCTCAAGAACAGCAAAACCATGGGGCAATATCTAACAGTCTGGAAATTTTCCAGCTTTGGAATATTCTGTTACCCTCTAAAATAACATTTTTAATCATAATTTTAAGCATCCTTAATCATACTTTTAGTGCTTTGAGTTACTTGTTTAACATTTAGGAAACCTCAAAACAGCATATTATAATTAGTTTCAAGATTCAACAATTCGGTTCAGCAAGCATCGCCCTCATGCACCCACACAGACATTCATACACTTGTTTCTCATCTTTAATAAGTTGGCTTCTTCCTCAATAGAAGTAGATTTCAATCGGCCCCATCAGTCTTAAAACCAGTGTTGTGCGTGGGTACCGTGCTGGCCTCTTCCCTCTCCTTCTTCCCCAATGTCGGCTGCTTCTCTCTCACTCTGTTCTGTTCCACAAATATGAGTGAAGTGAGGACTGTGCGTGCAGCTGACAACTTAAATCTTAAGTTTTTGGACCAATGTTGCTTTTTAATTGTTAAAACACAACATTCTTTTTTTCCAAAAAAAATTTCTTTAGTTTAATTGGTCTTTATTATTATATTCTTTTGATTATCTAATAATCTAATTTGCTTTTACGTTAACCAAACTTTGCTAAAAAATTATATGCAGATGATGTTAGGAATCAAGAGATGCACAAGATCTTAGACAACGTAGTTCCGGTTGCTCAAAATGTACTAAGCTCTTCCGTGGTTTACAATGCAGGTACTAATTTTGTTCTACAGTCTTTAAGTATACGCTTTGTAAGAAAAAAACAGAGCCAGTAATTTTTTTAAAAAATCTTTTTAGAATGAAAAAATTTTTCTCCTAAAATATGAATCATGCTTTTTTTTTCTGAATTCCATTTGACTTGTTTATGTAGCTATTGATCCATCAACTTCACAAGGTTCGGAAGCCGTGATCCAAGATGAAGGTACTGAACTTGTTTGTGGTTTACAGTTTCCATAAATGATCTAAAATTTTTTTGATATGACATTTGGGTTCAATACTTTCTGGCTATATTGTTGAAAGTAAGTTTTTTGATCAACAGAGAAAGAAGAACTTCTAAAATTGTTGACTGTAAAAAAGGAAAAAAAAATAACGCATTTTTTGGTTTTATTAGATAGAACTAATTTGCTGTTATTTTTGAAAAATTGTGTCATTTCATTTACTGAGTTTTATTTTTTTAAAGAACATAACTGTGTAGCTCTTCAAAATCAAGAGATGTATGATACCAGTGTTGAAAGGCCATTAGTTCAATCAACCAAAATTGCTCTGAGCACTACTACAGTTTGTGATGCAGATAATGACGTGTATTGTTTTGTAGACTATATAATACGCATGAAATGAAGTGAAAATTGCTCTGTAATATGTAATGACTCCATCATAGTACTTCCTGATTTATTATTTTGTGTTGTGAATTGGAATGCACTAGATGGATCACAGGATTTACAACTTCATGCAAGTGAAAATTTACTGGTCCAGACCACAAGATCTATTCTGAATGATGGCGAAGAAAGTAATATTGCTTTTGATTAATTTTGTTTATCTTTTTTGCAAAATTTGTGTCATTCTATTTCGCTGTTTTTTCTGTACAAAATGACCATGGTCGTTTAGATACAGAGATTAAAGAGATGTATAACACCATTCAAGGACCGTTGGTTCAAAATGCTGAAGACATGTTCATCCCTGCCGCAATTCAAGACATGGGTATGTTGATAAGTGCATTTCATACATTTTGAAAGTAAAAAATGTGTATTTTGCCAAAATCTTCTCATTCTATTTTTTCCCTTTTTTGGTTTGTTTAGCTTATTTTTATAGCTACTGGGACTTGTGTGATGCATGAGAGCATTGATAAACCCTATGTTCAAACGACACATAATGCATGGGTTGTTACCATGGTACAAAATAAAGGTTTAATTCAATAAATATGGTTTTGTTGTCTCCAAATTTGCCATGTCTGTTCTCTAACTTCTTTGTTATATTAAAATATAGAAGTCTTTGGATTAATTAATGATTCTAACTTTTTATTGTATTAATTGAAATCAAGGAGAAGAATCACATGACTCAGATATTCACCTTAGTAAAATTTTGTTCAACCAGACTATAACTTCTATGGTTGCAGACTACAAAGAAGGTAATGCATTTTTTACTTGTTGAAGGGGGAAGTTATTTCAATTTTTGCCAAAATCTTGTGTCATTCTATTTTTTAATTTTCCTTAGAAATTATTTTTTCAGCTATTGGGACTCAAGAGACGGATGAATGCAAGAGGAGGTTCTCAGTTCATCATGCTCAAAATGTATTGAGTCCTACCGTGGTTCATGATACAGGTATTGATGCCATATTATTTTGTAGTCTCCAAGTTGCCATGAAGGATCAAATACTTGTAGAAGTTTTTCCCTTAATTTTGTGTTTTAACTTTTTGTAAGTATTTTATAATTTGTTCCAATATCTTATGTCATTCTTTTTCTAGGTGTCTTATCTCTAAACTTATTGTTTGCCTATTTTGACTCCAGAGACAAATGAAGCTATTGAGAAATCCTTAATTCGAACAACTGAAGAAGCAGAGAACCCTGCTACAATACAAGACATAGGTTCTAATCTTGTTCTGATAGATCTTTGACTTAATGCTCCAGCTTAATCAACTAATGATTATAGTTTTTATTATGTTAACTAAAATTTGTCAGAAGAACCATGTGACTCAAAAGCTTGTCCTACCGAGAATTTGTTCAACCAACTGACAACTTTTGTAATTGGCAAGAAGAAACAAAGTTATAAATTTTTTACTTTTTGAAAGACAATACGTTAGTTTTAAATAAGAAAAAGTCTTGTCTCATACAGTTTTATTTTCTTTTTCTTTTTTTAGCTAGTGGAACACAAGAAACACATGACACCTTCCACGCTGACCAAGAGACAGAGAGTCTTGCCAAAGCACGAGATACAGGTTCTTATCTTGTGCTTTAACTTTTTTTTTAACTAATGATTAATTACTGGATTAATTAACATTTCTATCATGGTGTTTATTAAAATCTACCAGAAGAATCACATGATTCATCTATTGGGAGTCAAGAGATGTGTAGCACCGTGAAAAAGCGATCAATTTCAGCTGCTCAAAATATCCCAAGCTCCACCAAGATTCCTAACGCAGGTATTAGTTTTGTTTTGCCAGATCCGATTAATTTAACATAAATTGATAGAGTGAGTAATTTTCTTTTAGTGAGAGAATATTTTATTTATTTTTAACTTGGCTCATCATATTTTCTAATTTCCAGCAACAATGCATCCATCACCTTCACAAGCTCCAAAACTTGCCACACCACAAAACACAGGTTTCTATCCTATTTTATATCTTTGTTGCTTTGTTTTCCTGTAGTACTATTTGGATTAACCAACAATTCTACCATAGTGTTAATAAAAATCATATAATTCATATATTGAGACTCAAGAGGTGCGACACCAAGAACCCTACAAGTTTAACTACTCAAAATGTACCAAACTCTACCATGATTCCCGATGGAGGTTCAGCATTGTCTTTGTTCTGTGTTTAACATAAATTGAAAGAGCAAGTAATGCATTTATTTTAGTAAGAGAATATTTTATTTTATTTCATTTTCCCAAAACTTGACTCATTCTATTAAATTTTCTGATCTCCAGCAGTAATAGATCCATCACCTTCAAAAGCTCCAGAACCTATGACTTCATCAATACTAGAATCGAATACTTATAATGACTACAAGTGGTTTAGTGATATTCCGAAACAAAACTTGCCACATTTGGAGGCTGGGGTGAAGCGTCATCCTCAAGTGCTTGATTGGTTTAATACAAATCGACAAAGACTATTCGCTACCTTATTCATCGAAGTCACTTGCATTTTGAGGACCACTCGGAGATGCGACTTAACAGAGGATGATCAAAATCACATCAGAAAGTGCTGTGCTGCCTTAGAAGCAGTTGGCTTTGATGCTTGTTGGCTTAATTACGTGCATGGCTGCATCGAGAGCTGTGGTGATGGAGATGAACTCATGAGAAAGCTTGAGGAGACTGAAGCCAAAGCTTCCACTCTTAGAAATGAGTTAGCTTCTATTGAGGCATCCTTGCTCTCATTGCGAGACGAGGCGAGTAGGCTTCATAATTTTATTGAGCCATGAAGTTCACTCATAAACCTGATCATGCCTTGACATTATCGCTTTCAACATTACGTATCTAATTTCGTACGTTGCTTTGTGGTTTGTGTAATGCACATTAGTAGGAATGTGTCATTTGTATTTGGTGTGTAGTTGTTCTGCATATTAGGCATTGAAAGAATTAGTATTTCTATATTGTTGTTCTGTATGTTACTCAAATTAGTTAATTAGGTTTTACGTTAAGGACAGGGAGAATCTTAGTTTGAAGTCTAAAATAAGAGAACATGTTTAGCATTTCATGGTTTTACTGTTCATTAGCTGAAAATAAGTGGGGCTATATTCCAATTTAGCTAGGCAGGATATGCCTCATTAAATGAACTTGGATTTGTACTGATATATGCTTTACAGAGCAATCGCATCATGACATAAACATGAACCATTGATTTTCAATTTGATTATCTTTTTGAATGAAGTAATATAATGATTCTAAGTTTATTTCTAAGCTTTCTATGCCAGCACTGAGATCCACTCTTTCAAATCCAGGAACACAAACAGGAATGCTCTGGTAAAATCAACTACGGCTTCCAAACTTTTCATGAAACCAATATTGATGGGAGAGTAAAAGTAGTGTTCAACTGGGAGGTATGGAAATTAAAAATCAGAAATATGTAAGAGATTAAAAACTCGGTTCATTGCGGCATCAATAACGTTGTTTTCTCTTGAGTTGTTGACTTCTTGTTTCTGAGTTCCCCTGTTCAATGTAAACACAACACATGATTTTCTTCTTCTTCCTCTGCTGCCAGTGTTGAGGCCTACAAGCCTAGTTAATGAGGGGTCTTTTGGAACACAAGAGATGTGTGTTTATTAAGAAATTGATAAATGTGTTATCTAAATTCTTACTCTTCGTAAATACATATGTTCTTTCAAAGAAAATTTGAAATATAAAGTTGAAGTGTTATTGAAAATGTGATGAAAGACACGGCAAAGAGAAGTGAACAAGTCTATTCATTTAAAATTTAAAGGCTCAATTGTTATTTCCCAAATCGTCAGTGCTCCCCGTAATCTCTATTTGTTACGTCAAATTTCTCCTCATTCTGTTGGCTTTCATTGTAAATATAGATAACTAATTACAAATATTAAAAGATGTATATTTTTTTACTTTTGTTTTCTACTTAGTGCCCGTATATTCAATTAGATGAATATTACTTATATCTCATATAATCATCGAAGCCCATTAGTATAGTATTTTTGCATGACTTCTCTATTAGCCAAAAGTTCTAGCACAGAACTTCTCGCCAAACGGAGAAAGAAAAGCAATCAGAAAATTTTATGGTCCAGAATCAGAAATTGAAGGCATTTTGTTAATGAAGACCTTTATGTTCAAGATGAATTAGAAGGATCAAAGAATAAAATTTTAGTCTTCAAAAGGCAAATATTTGTTGTTATATCTTTGAAAGGGTGAGAATCAGAACGGGATTAAATTTGAAAATATACTTAAGTTTTGTACTTTTTCTCATTTTGCGGATACAGAAAGAGAACAGCGTGGAAAAATATTTTTCTTACCACTGAGGTCTTCTGTTCCCATTTTCAACAATGAAGCAGGCGCCACACAGAATGGTTAACTTGTGAAGATTCTGGCAATATCATTTAAGATCTCTAAAACTGTAATTTCAGCCTTATGATCAATGCAGAGGGGAAAATGAAGAAAAAATCTTAATAAGCTCGATTTGAAAAATTAAAAAGTGAGGTTAAAAGCTTTTAATTAATATTTATCATTTTTTATCTTACATTTTTCTTTTCATTAAAATTTTTAAACTCCACTTCTTTAATTTTTTAAATGGAGCTCATTAAAATTTTCTCTCCTCTTCTCTCCCCTCCATTTCACTCATACTAAACATAGGGTTAAGGTTTGCCTTATTTTGCTGGTCTACCATACTCACTTTGTATAAAACAAGTGAGTGTGATTCACAAATCTGGCTGGGATTTACCTATGGTTTGACAAAACTACAGATAACATAGAGAGAGGTGTTAGCTTTTGTGTCCAAATCTGACTTCTTATGCACTCTGGATTTTCATGTGTATTATATAATACCCAAAGACATTATATGGCTATATTATCGTTGTTCAAAAGGTTTCTGGATTAAATTCTTTAATCGAAAATAACTGTGACTTTCATTCCGTGTTGTTATGCAGGTACTTTGAGGGTGTGTTATACCTTAACTTCAAGAGATTAAATGCAACAAATACATGTCGTTTTCCTCTGTAATTATAATCTAATAATAATGCCATCCTTTGTCGTGACATGCACCTGCAAACATTCCAAAGCAACGTTGAACTAAAAAAATTTCTGCACTTGTTTCTAAATGATAATTTCCCGAATGAATTTGTGCCTTCTCAAAAATTGAAATGGATAATATATGTACTTGTCGATTTAGCATATTTACCTAACTTACTGTTAAATTTGGATAACAGGCCACATTGCTGCAATTGAAAACCTTTTAAGTGACCTTAAGCACAAAAAAAACTTCTAGATATCTAACTAGGTATATGCTGAGTAAAGACTTTTTTGGGTCAATTTACATTTAAACCCAGAAAAACTCCTATGAAAACTGGAATCAAACCTTAATTGTTGACTTAATCTTGATGTCATCAATTTCATGCGCCGTGATGTCATTTTTTAACAATATTTTTATTTATATAATTCAATTATTTATTTTTTTGGCCTAAAATTATTTACATCATGTATATAAGAAGGAAGGGAGTATTTATTAGGCCATCCCATTACAAGCTTCAACAAAACTTGATGGTGTTGCCCAAAAAAAGAAATTTGATGGTGCACAATGGGAAAATTGCATTAAGCCAAAACGATTTCACCTTTGCTGCCTTGGATTTCACTTTTACATTTATTTCATGTAATTTGGCAGCTCCCTCACATCTTCAAATTTATTGCTCTAGCCCCCCCCCCTCCCAAAAAAAAATTCCTAATTTATTCTCTCATCACCAGTCTCTTCCCTTTTCACCCCACACTTGTTCTTAACTCCCCCAAAGCGTAGAGTCCAGGGCAAAAAAGGCGAAATCACTCAAGGTATGAGCAATTTCACTTTTTTTATTAAAAAAATTAATGTCAGTTGATCAGTTAATATGATTGGAAGTGAGGTGAGAGATGTAATAAAATCGTTTAAAACAAGAACGACTTATCCACATTTTTAAACTCGTTCACATCTACAATGATTTTAAGTGTAGTATTTTAATAAATTCTTTCTCCAATACAGGACCGTGGTAATTTTACTATCGGATCTTGGTAATTTTACTGTTCACAGTATTCCGGTTAATTTGCTCTTGTTTCAGTTTATATGTGAAAGTGATGCCAAAGGGGCCTCAGTTGTAACTAAAAATTTCAAGAATTGACAAAAATGCCCTTTACCGGAGATTTTGTTGGCGGCTCACTGGTAGCTAGAGATTCCGTTGCTGGCATCCAAACAGTCACGCAAAACCTGTCAAACAGAAAGATTACATTTTTAAAATTATAAATTTATATTTTTCTGAAAATTATTTTTTTATAAAATGATTTGTTAAGACCACTGAAGGTGTCTATTTAATTTGCATAATACCACTTTTGAAAAACACTCTTCTCACTTTAGAATTTTCAAAATGACCAAAGTATACTTTAGTCCTTTAATTTTACATATAGTTACAGTTTTATCATTTAATTTTAAAAAAATATTGTTAGGCTTTTAATATTAAAATCATTAGTGTTAAATGATAATTTTTTTATAATAATTATAGTTGTTTTAAAAATTATAGTTAGTATGTTAGCATTTAAGAATATTTTATCAACATTCGAGATTTCAATATTATTATTTTTTATTAACAATTTAAAGGACCAAAAATATATCTTTTATAGTTAAGAAATCATATTGGAATATTATATAAAATTATACTTTAGCCTTTCTAATTTTTTTTAAGAGTTTTTTCCCCAAATTACTGATATCTCAACAAAAATAAAGATTACGGTCCTTAGCTATAAATGAAAATATAATGGATGAATAAAAATGTCCTTTGCCAATTGGTTGTTGGGGACTTGTCCGAGGCAACTTTCCGGTCACCAGAGACCCAACTAATGGAAGGGTCACTTTTAACCCCCGCCCCGGGGGGGGGGTGGTCCGTTAAACTCTTATTTCTAAGAATAATTTAGTCCAAATTACCTAAACAAATAATGCACGAGATGCCTATTGAATTGCGTAACTCCACTACGAAAGAAAATACTAATCTCATTTCAAAATTAATCTGTTCCCAGCTACGTAAAAGTAAGACTATTGAAAAGATATAAATTGTTTACTAAATTTGGGTAACTAGATGTTCAAAAGGCAAGTGCATGGGTTATGATAAATATGATAAGAAAATTGTCCTTCTTATTACGAATATTTGGATGGTCCTGTTAGTTGAAAATATAAAGCAAGCAATTTATCATGACCGAGTAATTGGAAGCTATAAATGCGAGTAAGTTAGATACATAAATGATATTGAAAATATATCTTTATTTATTTATTTGGTATTGATATTAAAAAATTGACAAGTAACTTATTAACTAATTCCTTGTTCTTTTATTAATGAGGGTTTAAAAATTTTAATAAATGCATTAAAGAAATAGTGCTGACTTCTTAGTACTGGTTAAAAAACTATAGGGAATATTTTCAAACACGGATTCCCATTCAGAAAATAGTTACATCAAATCAATTTTCTTATATATAATTATGATAAGTTTTCTAATCATACGTGATTATATGCCTTTTTATTTTCACATGAAAAGAAGATGAGGGAGGAAGAAACATAAACCAGCGACGGAGATGAACGTTGTTGGTGTTTGATAGAAGAGGTGGTCAATTGGTCATTGCAGTTTTTGGAATGGAAGGGATATCACGGACGAGGTGAGGAGCAGACCAGTAAAATCGGTTCTATGAACAGTAATATGATTTTTATTTATTATTATAGGTTTGCCGGTTGGTGGGTCGGTTGGTTGGTTTATGATTGATGTCGCGATCGTCCCATTCCCCCATTGATGGGCGTTGTGACTCAGGAGAACTGCAAGGACGAGCCGTACCCTTTTTCTTCAACCGCGCAGGCCCTTCATGTACGGATATTTTGCAGGTTTCAGATTGCTACTTTCAACTTTACAGCTCATCTCAATTTGTTTTTGGTTACAAGCTCATCTCAATTTTTTTGAGATAGAAAAGTAATTTTAACCCTGCAATCCGGATAGGCAGGAGGCGGGTTCGGTTCGGAGACGGATGGGACCGCGTAAAATAAATGGGACTGGAGGTAGTAGTAAAGTTGTGTGGACAGGACAGGCTGTGAATGGAATAGTAAGGTTGACGACGACTCTGAAGTCTGAAAAGTCAATGGGCGAATCCATAAAGAACTTGCTCAGGCTTTGGTTAAAGCTATCGTCTTTCTTGTTGCTCATCGCATTCCCCAGCTTACAACTCTCTCTTCTTCAAGTTGCACACCATTTCAATCCTCACTCTTATCAACCTTATTCTGCTGTTTCTTCTTCTTCTTCTTCTTCTTCTTCTTCTTCTTCTTGCTCATCGCATTAGTTTCATTGTTACTGATTCCTCTCAAACTCTTCATCACCCACTCTGTGCTCTTCCATTTTCTTTGGCATTTTCCTTCAACTTGCTGACAATCAGGCTTCTCATTTTCTAAAGTGTTTCCAGTTTTTATGTTCACTGTGTTTCCTTGTTCTCAATTTTCTGATCGTGTTTGTTTTGGTTATTTCCAGACATAAGCTACATTTAAAAAAAAAAAATTGTTATTCTTCTTTGCATTAAGTTTGTTTCCTTTTGGTAAAAAAGGAAAAAAAAAAAAAGTTTCTCATTTTCTAAAGCGACTGCAGTTTTTATGTTTACTATGTCTGTTTACTTGCTCTCAACTTTCTGATCAAGTTTGTTTTGGTGATTTCCAGATATCAGCTACATCTAAAAAAATTGTTATTCTTCTTTTGCATTAAGTTTGTCTCGTTCTTGTCGATCGTATGCCCATAATAATTTTTCAAAATTAGGAAAAAAAATTTCTTTAGCTTTACCAGTCTTTTAAGTCGGCTACTTTCTGGTCAATCTATCCGTTCTGTAGGACGTTTCGTACTGCTTCCCTGCATTTAAGTCTTTAAATCTGAACTAAATTTCAAAAAAAACAGAAAAGGGGGGGGGGAGCTGGTTTGAAGATTTTTTTTCTCTTGCCACTATATTCTTCCGCATCTACTGTTGCTTTTGTTGTGGGCAATAAAAAACTAAGAAGTCTGCAATTTAATCAGAACAAGCTTTGGTGCTTCCTTCATCTGTGCTTTATCTGTCGCCAGAGTGGAGCTGATCGCATAAAGTGATATGGGTAAAATCTCTGTCTTGATGGTTAAATATTTCGGATTTGAATTTGTATGAATAACATGTTTCTTGTTTACTTATTTTCTTTCTCTGGTCTTCAACTACAGAACTTTAGCTTCTGCCTTTCCCACATCTCAAGCTCAAGACTATTAACTTCTCATTCACACTGAGCAAGGTATATAACTTTTGGATTGGTTCTCTTATAGTACTGTACGTTTACTGACCGATAAGATCTGATGTTTTTTTTAATCCGTTTGTCCAAAAAAAAAGTCTTCTTCTTGAATAGTTTAACTTTAATACTATTGATGACGAATCATCATTTTTTTAAAGTTGGCGACGAAGAGATTATTTCCATGTCTTGCATATTTTTAAAAATAAAACAATGACAAATTAATCTTTTGGCCCACATAGTTTTAACTTATTTGTAACTTAATCTTTAAATTTTAACTTGGTACAATTCAGTTCCTATTGTGTTAACACTTTGATTTGATGCAATATAATTTATCCATTCATAAATTAGTCCCTATATTTTAGAAAATAGAATTAGAGAAAATTAATTTTCTTTGCCACATGGAGAAAATTAATATTCTAATCTTTATAATTTCATTCAATTTTGTAGCCACGGTGTATGTCCTTTTAATCAACTCCCTGTACTTTCAATCTGCGAATCGCCATCCTTCTCACTATTTATAACTCCCTGCATATTATCAATGAGCTAATAAGCAATCTGGACCGTCCAGATCTAATATGAACGGTCCAGATTTAATATTATTAAATAATTATTTTAAAATAAAAAATTATATTTTTGAAGAATGATAGTTAAGAGATTATTTTTGTTTTTTATCCTATACCTATTAAAATAATTATTTTTAAAAAATAAAATAAAAAATAAAAATAAAAATAAATCTGGACCATCCAAATCAGATCTGAATAGTCCAAATCTGATGAGCATTGGGTGCTCATCAAAACTGATAAGCACCCAATGTAAATCCCCAAAAACATAGGCAAACAGAGGATCTTTATCCTTTTGCTTGTTCAGACATAAGCTATGATTTCAATAAAAAGAATGACAAGGTAAAGAGAAACCATTGAGAGTAGATGACATAAATGAAATAGAAGAGTAAGGAAATCATCGTCAATGTCAAGCCTTGAAGAGTATTGGCCCTGAAATTTTGCTATTCAAGACCTAGCACTTTCAATAGAAAGCAGCGATTATGTTAGACTGTAGTGAGAAGGAACGCCATTCACAGACTGAAAGTGCGGGAAGCTAATTAAAAGAATATAAACTATATATGAGACCTAATAATTATAAATTGAATGAAATTATGAAGATTAAAATATTAGTTTTTCTTAATTTTTTTTCTAAAATATACAGACTAATTTATAAATGGCTAATTATAGGGACTAAGTTATACCAAATTAAAGTTCAAGGATTGAATTACAATCGAGTTAAAATTATGGAGATTAAGTTTTATCAAGTTAAAGTCTAGAGATTAAGTTACAAATGAGTTAATTAAAATTACAAGGACAAAAGATTAATTTCTCCTAAAAAATGACAATATGTTTCCGCCGGGGGCGGGAGGGTATGAAATTCATGTCATTCAAATCAAATCACATCCGATTCCTTCTTGGAGAAAAATACCCCATCCCATCCATTCTTTTGTCAAATGGTAGAGAATCTTAGTTGATCCTTTTCAATTGTTTGTTATCTATGTTTTTACTTTATAAATTACAGTAAATTTATCTCCCCCCCCCCTTCCCTGCGTATAGTGACAGATACAGATATAAAATGTTAAAATTATAAAGAAATTAATATATTTAGGCTTTGGTTTAGTAGGTGTAAAATTATAGAGATAGTAGCGGCAAATACTCCAAAACTATACAACATTTGGTTATTTATATAAGAGATAGATAATTAATTTACAAATATTAAGAAAAATAGTTAAATTAGTTATTTATAATAAATAGGTGTTATCTATCCTAAAATACCATTGTTTACATTAGAATAAAAACCCTCTAACATGTGTAGTCATTGTGAGGACTGCTTTGGGAAAAAAAAGAACAAATATGAAAGATAAGCACATTAAGGTTTTATATTTTAAAACAAATTGAATCTTTAACTGATTCCTATATTTAGGACCCGAGGTAACAATCTCCAAATAAAAATGGTTTGTCATTGCCTATACTATAAAGGTGAAAAACATATTTACCAATTTGATCTTCTAAGAACTTGAGAGTTTCACAGTAACTAAAAGAGGAAAATGGGTAACTACCCAGGCGAGACCTCCATAAAGCCACCTTAGGAAGCTCAAAGCTTTATAAAAGAATAAATATACTAACCCTGATAGTTAAAATAAAAACTAAATGATTAATTTATAAATATTACAAAAAGTAGTTAAGTTAATTATTAATTATTTGCATTAGAATGAAAACCATTGAATCTCTGAGTAGTTCTTATATTTAAGACTAGAATTAGTAATTAATATACACTCCTGTATACATAACTAGCCGGGCAATAGGTTCCAAACAAAATTCCTTAAATCTAATGACCAAACAGGGGGGGAGATATTGGGGTCAAAAAAATTTCGTAGAATTTAAGGATCACGAAATAATTTCCCAAGATATTAAATAATGAGTCAAAAATAAACGACATAAAATATAGAGGGAAAAATGTGCTTCCAAAACGTGTACCGCCACAATCATGGAAGCTCTACCTTTTCATTCGCTACCCCTCTTCTACTTTAAACGCTGTTGTGAATGCCACAGGAAATTCACGGAGTACTGAGTGTTCGTGTGGCTGAGGCCACGTGGGGATTATCTAATATCTATTATTTATTTATTTATTCACTCACTATCTAATAATTATTCTAATATCATTTTATACTAATTAAAATAATTAGATTTTTGATATTAAAAATAACAAAATTTAGGAAAAAATCAGTTCATTTATATATAGTTCCACTTGATTTTTATCAGGTACTTGTATTTTGTATTAGATCTTTATAGTTTTCTTATTTTTAGCCATTAGTCCAAATACTCATTATCTGTTAATTAGAACTGACATGAATGCCAACTGTAAGACATGTAAGTTTCCCAATAATACAAAATCGAAAAGTTTTATAAAAAAAATAAAATGAAGAAGCAAAGATTAAGTGAAATTATAAATATCCATGTGAGCCCTAATTAACTAACAAAATTTAATCTGTAATTGAAAAAACTGTAAAGATCCAATAAAAATGTGGGTAATTGATTAAAAATCAAGTGGAACTATGAAGGCTGTTCGATTAATTTCTTCTTAAATTTAATTATTTTTAATTACAAAATGTAATTATTTTAATTAGAGATAATGTATTCAAATATTCTGAAAGTATTCACGAAAAAGCACTTAACACTTGGAAGGTTTGTTGGACTCTTACATGTCCTAAAAGTTTATTTTCGTGGCATAATAATATGTCTGTTAATTTGACTATTAAATTACGTAATTTGACCAGTATCTTTGACTGAGATTTAATAACGAATAAGAATTCAAGGATGAAATGCTATGAAATGAAACTTTTAAGGTATAGAAGAGATAAAAAATATTTCAGGTGCTGATGAGTGCTTTTTCATAGATACTTTTGGGATATTTAAGTATCTTATTTCTTTTAATTATTATTAAATGGGATTAGAATGATTATTAGATAGTGAATAAATAAATAAATAATAGATATTAGATAATCAAGCACATGACCTTAGACATACAAATACTTGGCGCTCGAATGGATTCCCTCCGGCTACGGGTGTGATGGAGGGAAATGTTCGTGATAAGCGATCAAACGTCAGCGTTTTAAGGTAGAGGAAGGATAGTCAATGGAAGATAAAGAAAAGAAGGGGCTTCGAGCAAGTGAAAGCTTTTATGTCACCTTACGCCAATTAAGGGAAAAATTGAAATTAAAAAAACAGTGGATTTGACGTGGAAATAAGGTTTAAGCTCATCTAATATCCTGAATGTTTTCTATGCTATAATATTTTATGGTACATCCATTATTCTGAAAAAAATTTTTAAAATGGTTCGGTATCTTAAAATATTTTTTGGTACATCTAACACCAAAACAAAAAAAATGAAGTAATTTTTCGGGCATGTGTTTGTGTGTTCTGACCCAAATTTTCTTAGAATAAAGCCAAACCTTTTTTTTTTTTTTGGGGGGCAACAATAATATGGCCAAACCTTAAGTGCGCATTATATACACAACAAAATAAGCAAAACTATATGCGAAACATTGAATCCAATGTCACCATAATCCAATGCAATTAGGGCCTGAGAGCGGTATTTTATATGCATGGAAACAGACCTATCAATGTGACTTGAGCCGAATGATAATGAAGCTTGTAATATTGTGATAGATAATTACTACCAGTTGCAAGAGTAAGTAATAAAAGTTTTACCATTAACGACCTAGAGTGAATCCAAGTATATCATGATAACATTTATGATCGAACATACAAGGTACTGGTTATTCTCGGAAACTGTACTAATTAATTTCCACTTGACACTGAAAGTAGTCCTAATAATAACGATGTAAATGCGTCAACCCATGTATACAACATTTGGAAGTACAAGTAGTAACGGACAGATAAAAGTATCCAAACCCAAAACTACAATATCATGATGCAGTAAAGAGAGAAGACATACTTATTCATGGAAGCTCTACTAGCTGTCTTTTGATACTTAAAATAATTATTATTTACTGTCAAATTATTACTTGTCCTTCCAACATTTAATATTCGATATTCTAACCTCAATGATATTCATGGTATTTGCATTTTACGCCATCAAATTGTATTGTATTTCCTGTGTTAGAATTTTATGCTCTTCGATTAATTCCTTTTCGGCCAGTAAATTATTTGCCTTTGGGTGGTTAAATGCCTATCGAATAGGCTTCTTTGTCTTGGGGTTCATCTACTTATTAGCTCCATAACCAATAATGCCATTTTTTCTTGTCATTACAAATATTTCTCTCAACATTCGCTCAGTCCATTCGTTCTCATCCTTGCTTTGTTTATTCAAGTATTAAATTTGCTTGTCATTTTATTCAGGAAGTAAGAATGGACATTCTCATTTCTGTTGGTGCAAAAATAGCGGAACTTACTGTAGAACCCGTTGGAAGGCAAGCGGGATATTTATTATGCTATAGAAACATTCTTAAGGAGCTAAAGGGTCGAGTAGAGGAGCTGAAGACAACGAAAGAACGTATCGACCGTCAAGTTGACGCTGAAAGAAGAAATGGAAGGGAGATCGAAGGTGATGTGCTAAGATGGCAAGAAAGTGTTACTAAGACTTTAGAAGAAGCACAGCAACTTTGTGAAGATTCATGTGATGCAAATGTTGGGTGTTCCTAATGGTCTTTTCCTAACTTGAAGTCCCGACATCAGCATCGCAGAAAAGCAAAGAAAATGGCAAAAACCATTGTTGAAGTGAAGAAGGAGGGGAATTTTGATAAAGGAGTTGGGTATGTTCCACCTTTGGATATGATAAACAACTTTTCTGCTACTAGAGGAAGTGATCAGCTTGAATCAAGAAACTTAGTCAAGAAGGACGTTGTGTTGTCTCTGAAGGACCCTAAGATCAGCAAAATTGGGGTTTATGGGATAAGCGGCGTGGGAAAGACTACTCTTGTTAAAGAAGTTGCCAAACAAGTTAAGGATGACAAATTGTTTGTTGCGGTGGTTATGGTAACTATATCCCAAACAAATCTTGAAAGAACTCAAGATGAGATTGCAGCACAGTTAGGCCTTCATTTAGAAGGGATGACCTCATCAAGTGAAAGAGCCAACAGCCTGTGTGAGAGGATAAAAAAGGAGAAAACTATCCTCATCATCCTAGATGATTTATGGGAGAAAATTGATTTGGAGAAGTTAGGAATCCCTTCTCTAGATACACATGGAAAAGTTGATTCAGAAAAGATGGGAGTTCCTCCAAAGGATGATTATGAAGGTTGCAAATTATTATTGACTTCAAGAAGTCAAGATATTTTACAAAAGAATGATGCACAAAAGAACTTCCCCCTTCAAGTTTTGAATGGCGAAGAATCCTGGAAATTGTTTGAAGTTATGGTTGGTGAAGTTAAAGTGCTCAGTTCCAAACCATAGCAACCCAAGTGGCTCAAAGGTGTGCAGGCTTGCCTGTTTTGATAGTCACAATTGCAAAGTCATTAAAGGATAAAGGTTTTCATTATTGGAAAGATACCTTGAACAACCTAAAAAGGGTTGATAACAAAGACGTCCAAGAAACCCTTATTTCAGCTTTGGAATTCAATTTGAATCGGTTGGAAGATGAAGTAAAGAAAGTCTTCTTGCTTTGTGGTGTACAGGGAACATTCATAGACATCAGTGACTTGTTGAAATATGCTATTGGTTTGGGTATATTCAAACATGTAGATACCATTGAGGATGCGAGGAATAGGCTTTATAGAGTGACGGATGACTTGAAGGCGTCTTGTTTGTTGGTTGATGTTGATGCAAGATCAGGAATGATCAAGATGCATGATAGTGTTCGTGAAGGAGCCGTCTTGATTGCCTCGAAATATGTTTTCACCAAATGTAATTTGAAGTTGCAAGATTGGCCAAGAAAGGATATTCCAGAAAGATGTACCCATATTATCTTGAAACGTTGTTACATACAAAAGCTTCCTGAAAGGTTAGATTTTCCCCATCTAACATATCTCCTAATAGACAGCACGGATAATCAGACTTTAGAAATTCCAGATACCTTTTTTGAGGGGGTACGAAACCTTGAAGCATTAGACTTAAGAGGCTTGATCATGTCTTCATTGCCAATATCTCTTAGGTATTTGACCAAACTCAAAATGTTGTGTTTGGATTTTTGCTCTTTGAAAGATATGACTGGAATAGGTGTTCTGATAAATTTAGAAATTCTTAGCTTAATCTATTCATCCATGGAAGAGTTCCCCAGTGAAATAGAGCAGTTGACCGGGCTTAGAATGTTGGACTTGAGTAATTCTAGAATTAAGACCACCCTACCCAATATTTTGTGCAAGTTGACCAAAATAGAGGAACTGTATATGGGCCATGCCATAATTAATTGGGAGGTAGAAAGTTCATCTGAGAAAAAGACAAATGCAAGTCTTTCAAAGCTTAGCCATTTGATTTGCTTGACCACTCTAGAAATTCAAGTTAGTGAGGCTTGGCTTTTGCCCAAGGACATACCGTTTGATAAGTTAGAAAGATACAAGATTGTCATTGGGGATAAATGGGAATGGTTAAACAACAAAGAGACATTAAGGTTGCTAAAGGTGAAACTAGATACCAGTATTCGAGGAGAACGAGGGATCAAAACATTGATTGAAAGAGTTGAGGATTTATACTTGGACAAAATAAGTGGCATTTCGAATGTGCTTTTTGAATTGAATGGCGAAGGATTTCCATTGCTAAAGCATTTGCACATCCAAAATAATGGTGAAATTCAACATATTACCAACTCCATGAAGAGGAATCAAACTCAAGCTTTGTTTCCAAAATTAGAGACACTGATACTTCAGAATCTCAATAATTTGGTGAAGATATGTCGTGGTCCGGTTAGGAATAATTCTTTCGGCCAACTTAAGTTCGTCAAAGTCAAAAGTTGTGATCAATTAATATGTCCCTTCTCTGTTTCAGTGGTTCAAGCTTTTTCTCATCTTGTTGAGATTGAAGTTTCAGAATGCAATTCTATGACAAACATTGTGTCTCTGGAAAATGCAGAGAGCGGAAAAATTATTGATGACAATATTGAGTTTGTTTCATTGCACTCTTTGACTCTAAAACATTTGCCAATCATTTACAATTTTTACTCTCACGAGTTGATGTCTCTTCTGAGAACTAAGCAGGGCTCGTTGCAGGCTAATACTCCAACAGCCTTTTTTAGTGCCAAGGTATATCCTTTAAATTTTTTTTTGTACCCTTATATTGATCAAGGTGAGTTATATGCAAAGATGAAACATTTTATCAGCATCATCTTAATTATACATGAATGACGTTAGGTTTTAGATATCCATGATCGTTCAAAATTCTCATTATTAACATTATGTCCATTCTATCTTATTGTGTATTTCTTTTATAAAAGCGAAACTAAAACCATTTTCTTTCACAGGTTAAATTTTCTAATCTGAAGACTTTGAAGTTGAGTTCGGTCAATTTGAAAACAATTTGGGATGACAAAACGCCATGTTTGATGGAGAATTTGGCCAACTTGACTGTAGAAGATTGCAGTGGCTTAAAATATTTATTCCCGTCTTCTATGATTGGAAAACTATCAAATCTCAAGCAACTTGGAATAAGTAAATGTGATACGATGGAGAAGATAGTTGCCATAGACGAGAAATATGGCGTTGCACCAGGAGAGGTAAATTTAATTTGAACCGAAAAAAATTTATTGGGTGGTCGCGTTTGCTTTTATTAACCATAGTTTGGTTCTATGAAGTTGAAATTCAATGTCAATCCCTCCCTCTATTATTAATTTATGAGGGTATGTCTTATATTTTAAATTAATTGAGTTTTCCAATTAGAAGAGTGCATCCACACGTGAAGTCAGCACCCTTATTCCTCCTATGCGGCAATCTATGGGACCATCTGATCCCTTATTCCTTAATTTATTTTAAAGTTATCCCTTAATCTGAACATCAAGAATATTATTTTATTCTCTCAATTTTCGTGTTCTCATTTTTGGAGTCTATTTAGGTTCTGCATTTGCCAGTTCAATAACAGCAGCTCTAACCTTGCAAATAAATATCACAGGTGCTTTTCCCCAAATTGGAAGCAATAATAATAAAAGACATGCAGAACTTAAAGATGATATGGCAACCCATTCTGGCTTCAAATTCTTTGGCCTGCTTTAAAACATTGGAAGTCAAGAACTGTGAAAAAATTGACAAGATATTTCCCAACTATATGAATGGAGCACTTGCAACACTAGAAAAACTGAAGGTTCAAGGCTGTATGTCGGTGGAGGAGATATTCCAGTTGGATGTCGATGCAGATGATACAACACAGCTCAAGTATATCACACTACTTCGATTGCCACAACTGAAACAAATTTGGAGCAAAGGTTCTCAATCAAGTCTTCGCTTTAAGAACTTGAAAGTTGTGCGTGTTGAAGACTGCGATGATTTGGAGTACCTTTTCCCATTCTCCATAACCATGAACTTGCCTCTACTTGAACAAATTACAATAATGCAAGCTAAAAGGATAAAGGAGATCGTTTCTGAGAGAGAAGAACCCTTGGATGATCTTGTCGAATTTGAGTTCAATCAACTAACCTCCGTGGTGCTTTGGAATTTACAAAATTTGCAGGGATTTTGTGCTGGAAATCATAGCTTATCTTGTTCGTCATTGAAAAAATTAGATGTCAATAATTGTAAGAAATTGAAGCTGTTTAGGACACAAGGTACAAGTAGCCAAAGAAGACTTCTTCATGACAATCTCCATGTCTCCATGAAACAACCTCTTTTCACACTTGAAGAGGTATGGCTTGTCTTTTAAGAAAAATAATCATACTTTCTGGGTGTGCATGTTTTTGTCACGATGTGTCTGGAAATCCCTAGATTAAACATCACTCAGGTCCACATTACTTATTAATATTTATATTACTTTTGTAGTTTTTTGTGTTATTTGCAAAGTCACTTATTGAAAGCTTTGTAACTAAGTAAATCTCAAATTTTGATTTCAAATTGATAATATTTTTAATCCATTCCATATATCTCATGATGTAGTTGATTTTAAATATGATATATCTTTCCCTTGTTAAAACCTCTCTCAATATGCTCAATTCAAAAAATATATTGAGACTACCAGCATCATAATATTGGTTGGAACTTTAAAAAAAAAAAAAATTAATACAATTTTCCAAATGTCTTAATTTTTTAATAAACTTTTATTTATTTATTTATTTGTTTCACTTTATATTTGCTGATGCCTCGTACATTGACCTTACCCTAACACAGCTTTTATTAGGGTCTACTGGGTAAAAATATTAGTACTCTTATTTACAGTGGATTTCATTCTTATCTCACACACAACCACACTGCCACACACATATCAGAGGCCTTGTACAGTATGGGGCCCTAGTCAGCCGCCTATTGGCTAGGCCTTACACTCCCTCCGGTCGTATTTTTTCTTGTTTTTTATTAATAACTCAAACATGTTTTATCATACATGTCTTCTCTCCAAAATTTTACTAGTGTCTAAGGGTATCTTTGGCTCAATGAGAGGAGGGGGGGGGAGGAATTTTAATGGAAGGAAGGGGAAGGGAGGAGAGTGGAAGGATTTTAATATTATCATGTTTGGATTTATAAAAAAAGAGGGGAGGGGAGGGAAAAATATTTTAATATGGATAATTTTGTTCTTATTTTATTTAAGATATTGGCATAATGGTCACATCATAACAAAATATGGGCATAATGATCACAACATAATAAAATATGGACATAATGGTTACAACATGGCAAAATATTACCCTTCCCCTCCAAATCCTCCCAATTTTGGAGGGGAGGTTGAGGAGGGGAGGGGAGGGAAAATTTTTTACCCCCTCCTAAAATTTGTGTGTTACCAAACAAGAGAAAATGATTAAAATCCCTCCCCTCCCCTCCCTTCTAAATCCCTCATACCAAACACACCCTAAAGGTCTCTTCAAGTCTAAATATTGGGCACGCTAATAATTGGTCACCTCTATGTTACTCAATTATCTTCTTGAGTATGGTGTTGCTATTATATGATAGTTTAATTTGTCTTCTATCACATTGCTGGGGACAAGAGATTTAATTAACTCTTCCAAGGGGCACCATGAATTCCTGTAAATAGGAGGGTAAAAACATCACCGGACACTTTTTCCTACAAGTGATCAATTTGTTTTGTCCTTGCATGGCATAGGTGACTGACAACTTAGAGTACTTGAGTTTGGACGGTGAGGATGCCCGCATGATATTACAGTCGGAAGTTCCGGACCAATTCCACAAACTCAAAAGTCTCCTGCTCTTCAAATTAGGAGATGCTCAAGCTACTTCCTTATATTGGTTTCTCCAAAATACACCCGGTCTTGAACTTCTAGCCATTGCAGGAAAGTCTTTCAAGGTGATATTCCCGGCCGAAAGGTCTCGAGATGAGAAAGGAGAAATTGATATTAAAACACGACTCAAGACGCTAGTGCTATACAAATTGTATAGACTCGAGCATATATGCAGAGAGGGATGCCAATTGGATCCGGTTCTTGATGTTCTAGAATGCCTACATGTGACAGAATGTTCCAATTTGAAGCACTTGGTGCCTTCCTCAGTAACTTTTAATCACCTAACGTATTTAAAGGTGCAAAATTGCAGGGGATTGATGTATTTAATGACCTCTTCAACCGCAAGAAGTATGATTCAGTTAACAACATTGAAGATAAGAGAGTGTGATTCAGTTGAGCAAATTGTGGCGGAAGAGGGAGGGGAGAGCATAAATGAAATTGTTTTCAACAGTCTAACGGTTCTGGAAATTGATAGTTTGCCCAAACTCCAAATGTTTTGTTCTAGTAGTAACTGCTGCTTCAAGCTTCCAGTGCTGGAGACACTTGTAATAAGGCAATGTGTGAGAATGAAGAGTTTCTCTGCGACAGACACAGGCGCACCATTGCTTCGGAAGATACTAACAGACGAACAAGATGTACAATGGCTTTGTGAATGTGACCTAAACAGTACAGTGAACAAGATGTTCCAAGACAAGGTATGCTTTTATTCTAAGCAATTGTGGATCTCATGACATATGAAGTTGGGGAATACTATTTCTCTATAATCTCAATTAGCCAAACTTTATTGTTCAATGTGTTTTGAATGTTTGGGGATATGTTTGAGTTTAACAAAAACAACCTTTACAAACATGGAGAAACAGATAATCATTCTTTATGTTCTGCTGACCCTATGCACGCCAACAATTGCAGGTGGCATTCCGTGGTTTCGAGTGTCTGGAGCTATCTCGATATCCTGAGTTAGGAGATGTCTGGCTCTGGGACAGTGATGTTAAGCATGAAATGTTTGGTAATTTAAAAAATTTAGTAGTACACAAATGTGACTTTTTATCAAAAGTCCTTTTGCCTTTAAATTTGCTGAAAGTGCTGCCCAACTTGGAAGAGCTTCGAGTGAGTGAGTGTGATTCACTGGAAGCTCTGATTGAATTACCAAATATGAACGAAGGAAGAATGTTAGTGGAAAAGGAGACCATTCATCTGAAAAGAATATATCTCTCTTGCCTTCCTGAGTTCAAGCACATCTGGAAACGAAACTCTCAAGAAATTGTCTCTTTTGAAAATTTTGAGGAGATTTCATTTGATAAAAGTCTGGAGTTGCATACGTCAAAAATCCAAGGATTCAGGGAAACAACAGAAAAAGGTGATAGCTATTATCCAAGGAAGCAGAGTTCCATTGGAGAGGTATGAAACTCTGCTTCCTTGTTCAAATTATATATACCTAATAGACATGAAAATAGCGTTATCCATACCAAGTAATTTACGCATGTAATGAAATACGTACACACACAAACTTTGATGAATAAAAATATGTAATCTATATGTACTTCTAAATTATAAATAGTGTGGCTTTTTAAGAGTTTTAATAGGTCATATATAGATTATAATTTATGACTAATAATTCTATGTTGACGTGGCCTTCACGGCCTAGTTTCGAAGCCATGATGCCCATTGCAGAAAGTTGCTCTTACCGTTTTGACCTGTGCTTCACAACATGATTTATGAAATATTTTGGATAACCTTATTGTGGCTTCTTTTATGCATTATTGAAGTACTTAGAAATATATTTATAAAATGATTATAATTCGTGTGAGATAATTGGAAAAAAAAAGTATAAACACGATTTACATGTTTTATGAGACATATAAACTAGATATTTCTTTTAATTTAATAGGTTACACATAAGTTTTAATACTTTGAAATTTTGAATAATCGCTAAACAAAGAGGTTCATGTTGTGTTTGCTGTCAGTGAGAAGACATGAGGCTAAGTCTGAATAGTAAAATGAAGATGAGCTGGTTGTGTTTGTGTCTATCGTAAAATTTTCCCACAAGAATTTCGTAATTTTTTCCCCTTAATATAAGAGTCAGTTAATACCTTAAATAGTAGTACTAGTGCTTAGAATATTTATTAAAAAAAAAAATCAGAGGACGAAATTCAACTATAGATGTTTCTCTGATGACAACTATATATTATTGGTTTGCCATGTACATATCATGTTTTTGTCGAACATTTTGATAAGGATATAAGTAATTGGATACAATGAAGTGACATAAACAATCCAAATTTATTTATTTTTATTGTGACAAATCATCCAGTATTATGCCATATGCGCTAAGAATATTAAGCCCCTTGTCATTCTTTCCTGGCTAAATGGATTTATGGACTGCACAAAACCACTTAACACGGACGCACGAACGGCGGAATCAATCACTGATCAAATCTGTAGGCCTTCATTTTTTGAAAACTTGTCAAAGTACGTGGCGTGGGCTTGACTTGTTCCAAAGTGATGAGGAAATACAAAAATCTCCGGGAACTTGTTAATTTGCCAGAAACAGAGTTTACTCAAATTATGCATTTGTTTCAATCAAACTTATCCCAAGTATAGTTTATAACTAACAGTGCAACTATTGAGTTGATCGCAGGTGCTTCTACCCAAACTGGAAACAATAATAATAGAAGACTTGCAAAACTTGGAAACAATATGGCACCCTGTCCTAACTCTGAATTCCATGGGTAGCTTCGAGACATTGAAAGTGAAAAAGTGTCAGAAAATTCAGCATATATTTCCAATATACATGAACGAAGTATTTGCAGCTCTACAGACGTTGAAGGTTAAAGACTGCAACTCAGTGCAAGAAATTTTCCAGTTGGGTGCCAAGGAAATGTGCAGTAGAGATGATAAATCACGGCTCAAGAATATAATCTTGCTTCGATTGCCGAAGCTGAAACAAATTTGGAGCACAGATTGCCAATCAAGTCTTCACTTTAAGAGTCTGCAAGTTGTGCGTGTTGAATACTGTGGAGATTTAGAGTACCTTTTTCCGTTCTCCATAGCTAAGCACCTACCTCAACTTGAAGCAATTACAATAAAGAGTGCTGAAAAGATGAAGGAAATTGTTTCCAAGAGAGAAGAACCCTTAGATAATCTTGTCAAATTTGAGTTTAATCAGCTAACCTCTATGGTGCTTTGGAATTTACACGATTTGCAAAGATTTTGTGCTGGAAATCATAGCTTATCTTGTTCATCATTGAAAGCATTAGGTGTCTACAATTGTCAGAAATTAAAGCTGTTCAAGACACAAGATACAAGTAACCAAGAAAGACTTTCTGATGACAATCTCTATGTCTCAATGCAGCAGCCTCTTTTCACTCTCGAAGAGGTAATGCTCATATTTTTAACAAAATAACTAATTAATCTTTCTATGTGTTTGTTTGTGAAGGGTGTGCCCAAGCATAATTGGGCTCTAGGAGAGGTCATTAAATAGACTTAGGTCTATATTACTCATTAATATCTCTATTTTTTAAGTTTTTGTAGTTGCAAAATCATTTATAAAATTTTTATCATGGTTGAGTAGTTGTTTTGCCAAGTTAAGTAATTCTAACATATTACTTTCAATTGACAGTATTGCAAATCCATGCAATATATTTTGTAAAATGGCATTTTAATTTGAAAAAAACTTCTCTCAGCAGCAACAACTATTACAGTATTAATTGCCAATATAATATCTTATAACAAATGCATGCAATTAGAATATAATATATATTTTATATGGTATAACAGTTCTATAGGAGTTTTAGTTTTTTTTGGGTCAAAACTTTCATCTATACCCTCACTTCAGAAAATAAAACAACACCGTTAACATCATAATATTCACTGAAGCTTAAATTTTTTGTTAATATTAAAACAATTTTTCCAATATCTTTATTGTTAATTTTTATAATAATTTTTTTATTTCTTTAACTTTATGCTAGTTACCACTTACATTGACTCTAATTTAACACATTTTTTATTTGAACCATTCAGATCTGATTTGGATGTCTAGATCTATTTTTTATTTTTACTTTTTAAAATAATTATTTTAATGAGTATAGAATCTAAAATAAAGATAATCTCTTAACTATCATTTTAAAAAATATTTTTCATTTAAAAATAAAAAATAAAATTAAACTTAGACTATCCAAATGAGATGTGAATGGTCTAGATATGATGAGGCCGAAACTTGTTCTCACGCCCCTTCCCTTTTTATTGTGGCCTTGATAAATGCTGATTTTAATATATTATTTGATATCTTTTTAGAGATATTTATCAATTAAAGTGATATAAATTGCATTGATTGTAGATATTTTGAATCAAATATTGATTGCATGAAATTAGAGATTCAATAGAAGATCTTATCATATTTTTATCTCTTTTTAAATAATTGATTTTGGATTTTATGATAGCATCTCATTTTATCTTTTGCAGGCTTTAAAAATAAGGAAATAAAGATCATAGAAAGCTGAAAGGAAGGAAATAAAAAATGCAAAAAGAAGGAAATTGGAAACACAGCTTGGATGGCATCAGATTATGATATTATCTATATTTTTATGGATTAAAAAGAGGACACAGAAATTATCCACATGCCTATCTTTGAGATTTGATTTGGATATATATTATATCTCCTCCTTCACGCAGGTATCACAGCCGCCCCCCCTATTCCATTCCTATATATACCACCGTACACATACTCATATGAGACGCCTCACACCATCAGACCTCACTCACAAGCCTTCAGCTCCTCTCCGCATATACCCCGCCACGCCATCAGTTTTCATCTTTTTTTCCCTTTCGGCCACACTCACACCCCACTCACTCACCGTTTTCATATACCCCCGTCCCCACCTTCAATTCCCATATATTCCCTTCGGCCAAATACACACCTCCATATCCTTCACACCCGCACGCGTCTTCCCTCTCACGCCACACAACTCCTCTTCCTTTCCATCAGGACCTGTAACGCCACCGCATCCATATTTTTCTACTGCCAATCCTCACATTAATTCTTTCCCTATAGCCTCCATGGATTCTCATTGCTTCAAATATATTGTGGATTCTTCTAGAGCTATGAGAGGCTAATTCCCTTGTGCTTCTTGAAGATGGAAGAGTAGCTTGAGCTTGGAGCTTCAACTAGGGAAGTATCTAGTTTTCCAATTAATTTTCTCTTAGACTTCATTAGATTTTTCCTGTGTTAGGAATATTTCATTTGATTTGGAGACTGAGATTATGCGTTATAATTTCTGTTAATTGGATTTTTGCAGTTTAATTTGAGTTGTATTACTTAGGATTTGAATTTATATATATTTCCTTTGCAATTATTAAAATTATTTTATCTGGCACGTTGTTAGATTTTATGATTGAGATGTATTGCAATTGAGTGTCTCCGTGAGCATTCTTTAAGAGGGAAATAAGTTTTATTAACTCAATTTAAATTGCACATCAAGTGGTTTTTAAAAGTAACTTAATAACTTGATTACTATCTAGCGTTTAGGGTAGTTAAGTGTTGAGTTTACTTGACCCAAACCGTGTTTGGGGTTGTTTTTCTTAACTTGGTGTATTATTTTACTCCCATATCTTATTAAGCAAGGATAGCTACGTTCCGTTTTCAAGAAGCATTCTCATTACTGATTTTCTAAAATTCAAATTTGCATTTTTCATTCTTTCTTTATTAAAAATATCCAAAAAAAAAATAGTTTAGATTTATTTCTTATTTTCATAGTTAGTTTTATTAATTGAAAAATCCTTTTTCAACCCCTCCTTTTTATTCTTTGTCACTTAGTTAACTTAGGAATTAATAAAAGGCTCCTCAAGAGACTCGACCCGAGTTGTGCTTTACTGCATAATTTGGTTTTATTTTTGATTTAACCCAAGGCGACTAAAAAGGTTCAAATCAGGCCTTTTATTGTGGGTTTTTTAATGCAAATCACACACACAGCAGAGCCTTCGAAAGAGTGGGGCTCTAGGCCGTTTCCTATCAGGCCTCACACTCTCCTAGGCTTCGTTGCCTTTTTGTTTTTAATATCTCAAACGCATTTTATAATATTTCTGTTGTTTCTAAAGTTCCCTTCAAACCTAAATATGATGCATGTTACGCAATTATATTCTTGAGTATGGTATTATTACTTATTGACTTACTGCTACATTGTTCGGAAATAAAGATTTAATGAACTCTCAAGGAGCACCATTGACTCTTGTAAATACTACGGTTAAAACATACCAAATGTTCCCCCTAGTGATCAACTCTTTTCCTTGGATGGAATAGGTGATTGACAACCTAGAGAGCTTAGGTCTAAACAATGAGGATGCTAGCATGGTATTTCAATCGCAAGTTCCAAGAAACCAACTCCCCAAACTCAACTTTCTACGGTTGTACGAATTAGATGATGCTCAAGCTACTTCTCCATATTGGTTTCTCCAAAATATATCTTCTCTTGAGTGGCTATTCATTCAAGACTATTCTTTCAAGGTGATATTCCCAGAAGAAAGGCCTCGAGATGAGAATGGAGAAATTGAGATTAAAACACAAATCAAGAAGTTGACACTGTATAAATTGAATGAACTCCAGCATATATGCAGAGAAGGATGCCAATTGGACCCGGTTCTTGACGTTCTAGAATACCTAGATGTGGATAAATGTTCCAATTTGAAGCACTTGGTGCCATCCTCGGTAACTTTGAATCACTTGACTCATTTAGAGGTGCAAAATTGCAGTGGCTTGATGTATTTAATTACCTCTGCAACAGCAAGAAGTCTGGTCAAGTTAACAACATTAAAGATAATTGAGTGTGATTCAGTTGAGCTAATCGTGGCAGAAGAGGAAGGGGAGAGTAGAAATGAAATTGCCTTCAACAGCCTAGAAGTTTTGGAACTTGACAGTTTGTCTAAACTCCAGATGTTCTGCTCTAGTAACTACTCCATGAAGCTTCCACTGTTGGAGAAACTTGTAATACGACGATGTCCAAGAATGACTAGCTTTTCTGGAAGGGAGACAAGTGCACCAATGCTTCGAAAGATACTGACAGATGAACAAGAAGGAATATGGTGTTGGGAAGGTGATCTTACTAGAACAGTCAGCAAGATGTTCCAAGATATGGTATGTTTTGTTTTTTTAATAACGGAAACTAATCATGACATAATGAGCGTCAGAATATCATGTATGCGTAATATCCTCCAGTGGCAATTTCTTTTTACATAGTATGAAAGCTAGTTGAAAATAATGGCAAATTTATTGTTCAATGTGATTTAATTTGATGTTTCTTGATATGGCTTGTTTTGATTGAAGGAAAAACATTTCTTGCAGACAAGGAGAAAATTTAATCGTTCTTTCTCTATGAACTCCATTTGATTTTCTTCTCATGAACAGAAAACGTCATTGCACAACATTTAGAAAAGCCGATTTTTATATTGTTTAGTTTGCATTGATTCCCTTCTATTTTCCACTTCCAAAGAGTGCGAGCACAAGCGGAGCATTGAGCTACGAGGAAGATGGAGCAGAATCAAAGGCTAACGAGATTGATAATTCAGGGAAGCAAGAAATACGCAAACACACTATTCCACATACAGGTACTGATTAAAACAGTCTTGTATTCCTCGTTTATTTGTAAATGATCGTTGTACTGCTCAAATATTGGCTTTAATTTTGTTTTCTTACAGAGTCTAGTGGCTTTCTATATTACTGCTCTCTAGTTAAACTTATTTTATTATTGTTACAACCTCAGATCTTATTCTATATTTATTTGTTTATATCTTAACACTCAAAAGATATATTCATCACCTAAAAGCAAAACTCAACCCACAGTCACTCAATCTTCACATACATTATACTAATATTTAAACTTTCCTTCCCTTCTCTAATGTGAATCCGATACTACACTCATTAGGACAGGGGGCTTTGGGTTCAAAAACCATCTCACTTATCAGCACAGCCAACAGCATCAACGATTCACACATATAACATTAAATTTTGCTCTTAGGAAGCTCAAACTATGCCAAACCATCCTCACCCGCAAGGACGTTTGCTTCTGCCTCAAAAGAAGTAGATTTCAATCGGCCCCTTCATTCCCAAATAGCAGCCATTGAAGAAAATAGAGATGGGGGAAAGGTTTAGGAGACTCACCCTGTCCTAAAACCAGTGCTGCATGTGGGTACCGTGCCCTCCTTCTTCCCCGATGTCCTCTGCTGCTTCTGTCTCTGTTCTGTTCCGCAATGTGGGTGAAGTGAGGAGCTATTGGATCAACCAATATCCACGCAAATCTAAAACTCATCTTCATTCTTAGACGTGGCACGTCTTGGGCTTCATACTTTGGGCTTTGATAGTAACCCAAAATCACTTTTGGGCTTGGGGTGATGAATTTATTATTATTTTACCCCCTTCTTATTTTTTTTACCCCCTTCTTATTAGTACTTAATTATCAAATAAATCCCAAAAATTAATCCTTAATACTTTTGAAGGTTTTTCTTAATGAGCTTATTTTTATGGTTGTTCAGATATTATAACATTGTTTTGTGTTCCCCGATATTCTGCAGCCCAATATAATTAAAATTTTAACTCTTTCATATATATTAAAATCTATTATTTTTTGCCAACGTATTAAAATCTATTAGATGAATAATAACACTTAAACAATCCGTTGTAATTGGAAATCTATACATGGTTTATGATTGATGGCCACGACAGTATTTTTTTTTTTTAACTTTTTCGATGAAGAAAAATATTTCATTTTAATTTGCCAAATCTTGTAGAATTTATTTATTAATTTATTTTTGCCGAAATTTGTACTGAAGAGATGAATGAGACTATTCAAAAACCATTAGATGAGGCTGGTGAAAGCTCATTAACTCAGACCTCAGTTCAAGAAACAGGTACATTAATCTTTTTCTGTGGTTTCTATTTTACAATCTCCAAGTTATGTTTTTTTTTTCCCTGCCTTAATATGTCTTCTTGTTTCAACTGCTATAGGAATTGCTCCCAAGCTTAAACTCTATTATTTTAGTTTGATTTGTAATAACTCATTAATGGAATGAGTTGGGATGCTCATCACTCTTGGTGAGCACCTAAACTCATCAAATCTGAACTATTTAGATATGATGTATTTCTTATTAATTGTTAAGCCTCTCCATTTCTTATTAATTCATATTTCAAGCTCTGTACCATGAAAATCAAAATATACTAAAAAAATTACATGATCCAAAAATATACTTCTAACAAAAATTGGCCAGTCAAACTATAAACTCCTATAGTAGCTAAAAGTAGAGCAACTTTTTTTTTTCATCTTTTTTTCAGAATGAAGAATTTCTCCCTAAAATATAAATCGTCCTTTTTTTCTAAATTTCATTTGATTTGTTCATGTAGCTGTTGATCCACCTTCACAAGCTTTGGAAGCCGTGACCTCATCGATCAAAAATGAAGGCACTGATCTTTGTTTTCAGTTTCTTTTTTCATGACATTTGGGTTTACTCTGCTCTCTAGCTTAATTATTGAATATAAGGGAGCTAAAATCTAATAGAAAAAGAAGACGGCACAAATATCTAAGTGACAATATATTTAATCAAGCCACAGCTTCTAAAATTATTGGCAGCAAAAAAGTAATGAATTTTACCCTTTTTTTTATTAGATGGGATTAATTTACTTTTATTTTTGCAAATTAGTGCCATTTGGTTTACAGAGTTTTATTTTTTTTTCTACAAAAAATTTGTGTAGCTCTTCAAAATCAAGAGATGTATGATATTAGCGTTGAAAGGCCATTGGTTCAATCAACCAAAATTGCTCTAAGAACTGGAGTTCATGATGCAGGTACTTACTACTTGTATTCTCTTGTAGACTATATAATATGCATATCAAATGATGTAAAATATGGCTGTAATATGTAAATTATAGTAATTTCTGGTTTATTAATTTCTTCTATGAATTGGAATGCACTAGATGGATCACAAGGTTTACAAATTCATCCAAGTGAAAATTTGCTCATCCGGGACAAAGCATCTATTCTGAATGATGACGAAGAAAGTAATATTGCTTTTCTAAGAAATGAATTTTATTTATCTTTTTTCAAAATTATTGTGTTGTTATACTTTTTTTCTAAGTTTTTCTCTCAAAAATAAACTTGGTTGTTTAAATGTTGGGACTGAAGAAATGCATGAAACCATTCAAAAACTATCGGTTCAAAATGCTAAAGACATGTTAATCCCTGTTTCAATTCAGTACATAGGTATGATTAGTGCCTTTTATCCGTTTTGGAAGGAAAAAAAAAATCTGTAATTTGTCAATATCTTCTGATTTTTTTTTCCCTTTTTGGTTTGTTTTACTTAGTTTGTGTAGCTACTGGGACTCATGTGACGCAAGAGAGTATTGATAAACCCTTCGTTCAAGCTACACAAACCGCATGGGACTTTACCATAATACAGGAGAAAGGTTTAATTTAATGAATCTGGTTTTATTCTCTCCAAATTCACCATAACTTTTATAAAACTTGTTTGTTATAAGTGTGTGTATTAAAAGTTATAGAAGTATTTGGATATAATGATGCTAACTTTTTATTGTATTAATTGAAATCAAGTAGAAGAATCATACGACTCAGATATTCACCTTGCTAAGAATCTGTTTGATCAGACCATAACTTCTAGGGCTGCAGACTACAAAAAAGGTAATAATTTTTTTCTTTACTTTTTGAAGGGGAAAATTATTTCACTTTTGCCAAAATCTTATGTAATTCTATTTTCTAATTTCTCTGAGAAATTATTTTTGCAGTTGTTGGGACTCAAGAGGAGAACGATTCCAAGAGCAGGTTCTCAATTCATGATGCTCAAAATTTACTGAGTCCTACCGTGCTATCTGATACAGGTATTATTATCATGTTATTTTGTAGTCTCTAAGTTTTGGCGAAGGATCAAACGCTACCTGTAGAAGCTTTTTTCTTAAGTTTTTTTTTTTGGGTAATACTTCCGGTTTGTTTTGAAGATTGTACATTATTTTATTTCACCAAGATTATATGGCACATTATTTTAGCTTCCTTTACTTTCCTTTTTAATTACGTAGCTTTCATTGGTCCGTCTACGGAAATCTCCCTTTTATTAACTAATTAATTTTTCAAATACTCTATCGTGTGAATTGAAATATATTAGGAAAATTAATTAGATGATCCAGAAGTATTCTGCAAATGTTTAAAACTGATTTGCTATGTTTAATAGTTCTCTTGCACAGTAATCACCGGTTTAATTAATTGATTATTCTAACTTATTTTTATATGAACTGAAACGTATTACTCCTCTGGTCTTTAATATAAGACTTCTTTACAAAATAGATTTTATATTTAAGATTAAAAGAATAGCACTTAATAATTGATTTCAACAAGAATCTGTTCACCCAAGTTACAATGGTCTGACAATACAAAAAATAGGGCATTTTCTACTTTGTGTGAAATGTAATTCATTTTAATTTTTATAATATCGTATCATTATTTTCTCTTTTTTTTGAATTATTTGAGTTTTATGCTCTAAGCGGTGCCATATTCATGGTTGTTTAGATATTATAACATTGTTTTGTGTTCCCCAATATTGTGCAGCCCTATGTAATTAAAATTCCAACCCTCTTTCATATGTATTAAAAACTGTAAGACGAATAAGAAGACTTGGAAATTCATTGTATGTGAAAACTTGCCCATCTATCACATCGGATCGGTTATGATTGATGACAACGACAATAATTTTTTTGTTTTTATGTTTTTAAAGATGTAAAATATTCAATTTTAAATTGCCAAATCTGGTAACATTTAATTCCCCCCCCCCCCGGGGAAATTTGTCTCTTTAGCCACCGGGACTAAAGAGATGAATGAGGCTATTCCAACACCATTTGCTGAAGCTGTTGAAAGCACATTAACTCATACCTCACTTCAAAGACAGTTGGTTCCAAACGCTAAACACATGTTCATCACTACCTCAGTTCAAGACATGGGTATTGATTAATTTGTTTTATACTTTTTGGAAGGAAAAAGTATGTGTGTTATGTCAAAATCTTCTCATTCTACTTTCTTTCCTTTTTGGTTTGCTTTATGTAGCTACTGGTACTCGTGTGACGCATAAGAGCATTGACAAACCCTTTGTTGAAGCCAGACAAAATGCACGGGACATTACCATAGTACAGAATAAAGGTTTAATTTTATGGATCTAGTTTTGTTGTCTCCAAGTTTGCCATATCGATTCTTTATCTTCTTTGTTATGTTAGAAGAGTTATAGAAGTTGTTGGACTAATTAATGATTCTAACTTTTTGTTTTGTTAACTGAAATCAAGTAGAAGAATTACATGACTCAGATATTTCCCTCAGTAAGAAGTTGTTCAACCAGACCACAACTTTTATAGCTGGAAACTACAAAGAAAGGAGCACAGGGTCTAATACTTCAGGTATTGTTTTCTAGATTCTACCTTATTTTAACTATCATTACTTTATTGATGTTTTATAAGTCATTAATTTGTATGGGAATCTCCATCTTATTAATTAATTTTTCTAACATTCTGTTGTGTGACTTGAAATACATTAGGAAAAGCAGATGACTCAGAAGTAATTCATAGAAATAACTTCTCCCATCAGACAACAAACCTTGTAATGGCTGAAAACCAAGCAGGTAATGCATTTTAGTCTTTTGTAAGCAAGAAAATAACTTTTCTTTATTTTGTTGCAAAGTTTGAGTCATCTTCTTTCCTGACTTTTCCTTCTACTTATTTACTCATCAGTTGTAGATCCAATTCCTTCACAAGCTTCAAAAGCTTCATCTTCATCAACAACACCTGTAGCAGATGTTTGCAGCAGCTTTAAGGAGGTGGACAGGTTGTTGCCATATTTGGAGGTTGGGGTGAAGCGGCATCCCCAAGTACTTGATTGGTTCAATACAAAGCCACGAAGAGCATTCGCTGCCTTATTCACTGAAGTCACTAGCATTTTGGGGACTACTCGGAGACGCGACTTGAAAGAGGATAATCGAAACTATATCAGAGAGTGTTGTACTGCCTTAGAAGCAGTTGGTTTTGATGCTTCTTGGCTCAATTATGTGTATGGCTGCATTGAGAGCTGTGGTGATGGAGATGAACTCATGAGAAAGCTTGAGGAGACTGAA